GACACCTGCTGCTCCCCATGGATTGGGTTCTTGGCACCCACAGGATTAATCTCATTGCTAAAAGCTGGTTGTGAGCAGTATGAAGGCAAAGAATTAGGCTTGTGTTATGGTCAGTTTCACTGCCTCAGCCTTTCAGGCTGATAGACTGATGAACAAAATTAGCAAGGCATTTTTTATCTTTTCCTTCTAAGAGGAAACAAAATGGTCCTCAATTAAAGTTTGCTGCTTGTTGTCTAACCACAGAGAGCTGGATCTTCAACTACTTTTCTATCAGCACAATTCCATCTAGGATCTTACTCATTATTTAAAGCAAGGGTGAGGTTTCTGTTGCATCCATCTTCTAGCACAGCCCATCTGACACAAAGCCTGCCTCCCTATGGAGCCTTCTCATGTAGGTGGGAGCAGGCTGGTGAGGCAGGTAATTGCTCTATCAGCCCGTTTCCTGCCACCCTATTTCCCAGGGACCTACTTTTTCTCCTCTGTCATGTGGCTCAAAGTACATCCAGTGCATGACCAGACGTGGCTGAACCCTGTTATTTGACAAGTACACTCAGTTGGGTGACAGGACACACCTGCCTAGTAGCAAGTCCATCTTCTGACCCCAGGATTTGTCACATGCCCAAGAAGCAAGCCTCTGCTTCTGCATGTGGCAAGGACAGCATGTTGGTCATGAGTGGGCTGTACTTTCCGTAAGGTGCTGGGAAGGGCTCTGGGTACTGCTGGCAATGGCTCCATAAAGTGTTGCATCACTTGTTCTGTCAGGTTTCCCAGCTTGCTTTAAGTGCCTGCTGCTCTCTGAAGCAAAGCCTACTGTGTGTTTTATGTGCAGGTGGTTGTTTAACCAACATGCTCCATTTTTCTTTTGTTAAAACATGTATCTTTGAAAACAGGAACATAAAAGTGATTCTCTTAAGAAGAAGAAGAAGAAGAAGCAGAAAGAACATAAGGAGAGGTGAGACGTCTTTAACATGGCTGAAATTAACATTCTCTTGTACAGTCTCCCCAGTGTATCTCACCTATGTAACTGCACAGTCTTATTCCAGAAGTCATGCACACCATAGTGGAACAAAATTCTCCAAGTGCTGAGTTCCTCAAAAAATAGTGACACTGCTCTGTGCTTAGCAGTTCCAGACGTTTCAGTTACACAGCTTTAATGAAAGCATGTCAGTTCTGTCCCAACACATCTTAACACCACAACTGAAGGTCGGATTGATGGAAATCCCTGTGTGCAAACCCACAGTACACCACTTTTAATACATCTGCAAAGCACAGGCTACAGTATGCAGAGGCTTGAACATCTCATCCTAGTGCAGCAGGTTCACTCTATATTCTGTCCTCTCTATCCAAAAATCTTCATGTTTCTAAACATTTAAAAATGTAAATCATTACATCATGTAATGTGCTGCAAATTTTAAATGGCTGTGAAGGTAAAATGTTCTGGAGTCATTACATGCTATGGTTTATTACTCCATAATACCAGACTCTGCATAAGTAGTTGACATTTTTTACCATATTAAGCGTTTTCATGTGTTTCTGCTGTTTCTTTTAATTATTGTTTTTCCTCTTTCTATTTCAGGAAGGCCAAAAGGAAGAAATCAGTGCCTAGCATTTGGCCTGCAGGACAAGTTGGAAAATTCAGAAATGGGACCTTGATTCTGCAAAGCCATGACATAAAAAAAATTAAATCATTTAAAGCTAGCAAATGAACTTAATGATAGAGAGTGAAATGAACAATATGAATAAGATAGAATTTACATTGCTACCAAAACAGACTTCTGGAGTCTTTCACTTTCCCACCATATCTTAATTTTTTAATCCTATTTGTTATTGCAGGATTTTTATATACCATTCTGCCTTGGGATGAATATTAGAATTTATCATTTTATAAATAAAAATAAGAGTTTTTATTAAGCTAATTTTTATTAGTCAATATGTGCTAAAGAAAACATTTCTTTTTCTAGAATCAGCTTATTGGCTGAAAGTAAAACTCTAATTTAATCCATAAATTAATGGATATATTTATCTTTCATATAGAAGGAATATGGCAAAAGCATTATCTTACTCACTCTGAACCTGAAGTAGGTATTCTCCAAACTTGTATTGGACTGGACATAAATCTGTTTCTGTATCCTTATGGATTGCTAGTGGATAGTGGAATGGCACAAGAAATTTTCTGTCCAGTAAAACTTAATTTTTCAAAATTACCTGCTTTGGAGCGAAAATAACATTTTTTCTGGAGTTTTTTCCCAGAAAAGAGTTCCAGACTCAACTTGTACATCTCTATAAAGATCTCCAAATAAGCATTTTCAAAGAGTGGTTTGGTGGCTTAATTGGTTTTTAATAACAAAACCATGTAAGACTGAGCTAAATGAACATGGAGACACTTAATAGGTACTGGTCGTTCCTGGTCAACTCATATTTGTTTGGATTCCATGCCTCTTAAAGGCTCTTCTATGAAATCTTTGCCAAAACTGAGTTTTGGTGCTATTTGGATTTCAGCAATCTGGTGTTCCTGGAAGAACAGTGTTTGTCTTCTGTTGCTAAAGTTTTGTTGCTGCTTTTAAAGTTTTGTTGCTGCTTTTAAAGTTTTGTTGCTGCTTTTAAGGTTGTGTATCCATTACAAATGGCAATAGTTAGTAACCTTACAAAATGACAGAAACCAGAATTTTAGGGGGTGACAAAACTGAGGTTTACTGTTAAATGGCAGAGTTTGTATTGTAAGGAGGTTTGGAGCTTGTTTGAACAGCTCTGGCAGTGAAGGATGCGTACATGAGAAGGAAAAGAACCCTTTCTGCAGAAACTTGTTCTAGGTGTACTGGTACCCCTGTAGGAGGCTAAGCCTATGTCACCCTGAGGTCTGTGTCAGCTTGCAGCAGGTAAATAGAGCAGCATCAGAGGCTGCCCCCGTCACAGGATGGTAAAGTGTTCTGGGATAGGGAGAGCCACGCCACAGATGGGGATGCTTTCTGGCACACTGCTTTCCCCTTACCTTCCACCTTGCAGGTCTTGGAGAAGTGCTCTGCCAGCACAGAAAGGACTAAGAGGAGGGAGAGGGCCTGGAGAGCAAGTGCCAGGTAAAAAGCAGAAGGGTGTGTTTCTGGAGCCACGTAGGAAGAAGAGGGCTCTGCAGAGTTTGGTTGCTAAATGCTGTTATCACACTTCATGGTTGCATAATTTGATTTCTTCAACTCAGTATTGGTTGCAGATTTAAACTGGAATTAAGAATCCTGTCTGGTTACAGACTTAATGACTTTAAACCTTAAACAACTGTCAAATCACGATGGCATGTGAAGGTGTAACCACTAAGCATAATTGAGTACAGAGCATCAAGACTTGTTGAGGCAACAGACGGGCTTTGGATGTTGTAAGATAATGTGTATTTTTTTAATTCCTGGTTAATCTTTGAGTTTAGTGTTCACTGCTCATTTCTTGATAAGGTTTTGTTCAGTTGGCTTTCCATGTAATGTGGGACTTCGTGTTCTCCATCAGCTTTGATAAGTCAGAGTTCACTTTCCACCTCCACAGCTCCCAAAAGCTATGTGGTAGTGAAACTTGGTCAGAATGGAGTGTCTAATTTTTGCAGTCAAGCTTGTAAGGTCTGTAAAGGGCTGAATGAAATCAGTCCTTAAAATAAAAAGTTTAAAATTGAAATCCAAGTTGAAGGTGGAACATTAAAGTTTTGGGCAGAAGGAAACGAAAAGTTTATTCAAAGTGTTGCCTCCTCACACTCATTTAACGTTGCTGTGTATGCATTATGAAAGGCTTCTGTTAATAGAGGTAGGTTTGCTTTTTCATATCAAGTCTCCAAGGTAATTTGAACTGGGCATGCTACATTCCTGTAGAAGGCTTTGCTTGGGTAAACGTGGCACTTTGAGTCCTGTTTTATTACTAGATGCATCAAGAACATGGGCAAACAAGGCTGTTGAGAGCCGGTTGCATCCGGTGTATCTGGGCTGGTATGTGTTGGTGGCTAACAGTATTTAAGTGTACAGACAGCAAGCTGTGTTGGTTTTGGAGCAGGTGCTGATACATGAACGGCAGTATTGACTGAATAACTGATTATGAGAAGAGGAGAGCAGGGCCCTCTGTCTGCAGTTGCATGGAGGAATGAGGTGTAAAGGAAGAATGCAATGATTTCTCCTTATCTGCTCTCTTTTTCATGCCTTATCCTATTACAATTACCTTTATTCCCTGCTTCCCTACATGTTAAGCCACATGTGATTATCTTTTCTCCCAGTCAAATTCTTTGCCATAAATGAGTTGTTGACAAGCTGTCTTTTGCAGGCATGGATGGTGTCTCCACACTTTGTACTTTCTCCTGATTGTCTTGTCTGAGATCCCATTTCTTACCCTGCTGCTGCTGCTGTGTCAGAATGCTTTATTCTCTCGTATTAACAGATACCTATGTGGCTTTGTAAGTGCCTTTTGTCACGGGCTGGCTGTGGTGCCTCTGTGGCACTGCTGAGTCCCTCCTTGATAGAGGTGCACAGCTCCCAGATGATAGGTCATTTTAAACCATCTCACAAAGTCTTCCCTGCCCTGACAAGCTTTCTGCCCAGTCTGACTTTTACACTTACCTAAAGGGTTTTCCAGTCAGTTCCTACTGGTGCCACAGTTCTTTCCAGGCTCTGCTTTTTCCAGTGTCAGAAACTTCTGGAGATTGGGAAATCACCCAACGTGGGTTGCAGCTAAGTAACAGATCCCCAGGTGTTCTATAACCACTGTGAGCCAGAGTTCACGGAGTGGTGCTGAGAAGGAGAGTTGTTTCATGCCAGTGAATCAGGGTATGTCAGGCTCAGGCACAGATGGTTGCTCTGAGGAAGGAGTCTTGGCTTTCTCCATTTACTGGATTATTCTTGACTGGTAACAAAGTATCAACTGTAGGAGATAGGCATACCAACAGTATGAATGCCTCATCTATGTTACAACATAGTATTTTTGAATCATAAATTGTAATAATAAATAGGGTACTGATGCTGAATTTGTTGGCAATGTTATAAGAATTTATTTAGAAACTGTAAAACAGCATAAACTTATATGTCAGGTTTTCCAAAAGGGTAATAATAGTAATAATACACCAAATTTTAGTTGGACCAAAAGACAAAAAGCAGTTTGTTTCTAATTCAAAAATTACAAACATTTGCTACTGGTATAAAATTATAAAAAGTTTGTATTTTCCTCTTGATCTGGTGACAGACACATATAGCAGAGATGTATATTTCACCAGCTCCAAATTCATATAAGCTATGGGAAATGACAGTAAAGAAAAAAAAACATTGTAGTTCAGAAGAAAACATAGAAACAACTTCTTGTCTTTCATTTAACCAGAATTGAACACCATTATCTTATTCCTTTGCACTTTTTTGGTTGCCAACATTTAAATTAGTGTTACTCATGCTTCATATAACAATCAGAAATAACAGCAGGTTTACCTCATGCATTTATCTTTAATATTCATCACATAATGTCTTCTCACCATGCTACCTAGGGCGGTTAGTGTTTTTATTGACAACATTTAAGAGAGGTGGAGCATAAAGAAATGCAATCAGGATGCAGGAATATTTCTATCTACTGCCTCACGGGAAAATGTTAGAAATACTCCAATTAGCATTTAAAAATAGTTTTTAATTAATTCTGCTTGGAACTGTTTGCAATAACAGATGTAAGAAAGGTCATTTAACAGAAGGGGAAAATGTTGAGTGCTTCTGTTAGTGACACACAAGTCTTTCTCCTGTATTGTGCAAAGATGCAGGAGCCCCACACATCTAGTCTCTGAGGTTTGCTTATGGGCTTCTGCACCTGAGAAGACCAAGTGTGTCTTATTGATGATGGATTTGTGCTTCAGGCTGCTGCTCCACCTGGTTGGGTGTGTGCAGCTTTCAGTTGAGCTGGGCAGAGGAATCACCAGAAATATTGTCAGTAAAAACTAGAAGCAGCTTATTTTTTTTCCTAAAAAAAAAAATAATAAGACTCTCCATCTTTGCCTCGTAGTTTTCAGTGACATGTGCCCTTTACGTTTGCAATGTGGTTGATTTGTAACTGTAATCTCCCTTCCAAAGTTGATCTAGCCAAGATATTTGGTGTTCTTGTATTATCTTGCCTGGTTCAAAATTAAATTATTAGTTCTGCTATTTAAGCTGAATGCTGCAAAGCTGGTAAGGCCTGAGATAAGGTCTAACAACTCCTTCCTCATTTTTCTCTTTGTGACCAAAGGACATACTAGATGGCAGCAGTAAGCTGCTGTTACAGGGTTGAGGAATTTTGCATCCTTTCTCACAGGAATGGGTGATCTGAATTGTGATCTAGATATGCACTACCTCTTTTTGGCAGTTGCAGACATGGTGTTTTTCATACAGTGGTGGTGGCAGCTTAGTCTTAATCTCATCTCTCTCTTACCTTGTTTAAGAAATACCATGTAAGAAAGAAAAGCTGCATCTCACATTTCTTCTTGCTCTAGAACAACTCGGAAACCAGAGTATGGGGTGCTCTCTGCCACCTTACTAACTACACTTTGAGGAAAAAAGAAATAAAATAAAAAACAACTTACACAGCACTACCACAGAACTCTATCACCAGCCAAGAACAAACTACAGCAATATACTATGATGATATTATTTACAACATGATGGAACATTATGCATATAATAAATTACATTTAATACTTTTCCTCTAAAACTCTGATGTATGTAAGCTCATGCTTATTTTATTTATTTTGCTCAGTCCAATATATTTTCCTCTATATATCTTAAGTGCATAGGCAAGTATAGGAGGTGACAGGGCTGTTTGCCTATCTTTTCTATGTTTCTAGAAGCCAAATTGCTTTCCATCACAGTATGCTACTGTCCTCAGTGACATTTATTTTAGACCACATACCTTTCCACAGCAGGAGCAAGGGATTGTCAACTAGATGTGTGCTTATATTGACAGTAAGTCTTACTAAGAGATCTTGTGAGCTTTTTTTGAGTTGATGAGGGAAAGGAAAGAAGTGGAAATTGTATAGCATTGCATGCCTTGGGAAGTCTGACAGTGCTCCTGATGGCAGGCTACTTCTGTCTGTTCCCACTGAACTTAATGGAAATTTGCAGAGGAAAGAGTCAGGAAGAAGGTTCACAAAAGGCTAAGGTTCATGGGGTAGGTGAAAACTGAGAGTCTTTTGTTGCTCTGCGGGACAAAGTTTGACCGCTGTATTTATTTTGCAGCTGTTCAGAGGTTCCAAACCAGTGTATGCAGAAGTCAAGCTTTATTGTGTTAAAAAGGGGAAGGCCTCTGTGTTTTTCTGGCTTTTTTTTTAAACATTTATTCAATTTACAGCTACACTGTGTGGGCTCTGTGCCACAGTGCATGGGATTCATCCCAGTGCAAAAGGTTTTGCTCTCCTGCTTATAAGAAGCAAGCAGGCCTCTAGCATCTGAAGAGTCTCTTGACAGGCAGCTTTGTGTGGCCCAGCTGCCAGAGGAGCTTGGAGTCCTAGAGAGCTGCAGAAATACTCTGAGGAAACAAAAGGAAACAAGAGCATCCAAAGGGTATCTATGCTGCTCTTCTCTCTCTGGATTCTCCCTGCACAGTCAACAACAGTTTCTGCAAGGACCATACTGCAAATTTCTGCAGGGACTAGAGGCTGATGCCCTCCTAAAGAAAGGAGGGAAACAAGAACTGGCATAAGAGATGCTATAGATGAAGAATGTGCAAACTGCTGGGTTTATAATGGGATGGACCTTGGAGAAGTTGCCTGCAGAGAAGGAAACTACCTCCAGCCTGTGCAGAGTAGTGGGAGCATCCCACTTCTCCCCACCTACTGCTATTCTGCAAAGGGAAAACTCTGCTCTGCTTTATGTTCAGATGGCCCCTGCATGCTCTGCATAAATATTCGCATGTGGAATTGCTAGTTTTCTACAGTGATTTTMACTACTTAAGCATTTTTTCTGTTAATCAAACTATGAAAATGTAGCTGAAGTCATAAGAATGCACTCTATGTGGGTAATTGGTTTATTGCTACAGGCCATACCAAATGTAAGTCCTTGATTGTGTACACAACTGACACATGCAAACACTTTGTTTGGTTTTTGACCTAGCGTAATCTTACTAATGCAGGTAGCCTACTTCTAACTATTCCTTTTAATTTATTTGCATTTTTGCTAGGTTAAAGGAGACTATAATGTAGCTACCCTACTTCTGTGAATGTTAGAATGTAGAGGGTAAAAACTGGGCTTCTCTATTTACTGTTGCTACCTACTGTCCATATATTCATTAGAAATTAACAACATGTCACTCAGTCTGTTCTCCCCAAGATATAATACACCAGGAACTGATACCAAAGCAACTATGAAAACGAAAATCAAGTATTGCAAACACTTCTAAAACCCGTTCAGAATTAATTTTAAACATCTGGCAATGGTTGAGAAGATTGGGAAGTAGTAAATTCATTTGAGTTTCCTTTACAGAAGCTAGGAGTAAAGACAAAGGTTCTGTCCCAAAACAAACAATGTCCTGTCTTTTTTAATACAAGTGGAGTGCCTCCCATATTAAAACTACCACAGGATGTTTCCCAATACAAAAAAAAACTATATGCAATTTATGTACAATATTCCCATACACTACTCTGACTGGCAATACTCAGAGCCAATGCTATGATTACAACTGTTAGGTTCATTGAAGAGCACACTCAAGAGGAAATTTGGGGTCTGGTAGCATTCTAGCTGAGGTAGGTTAAAACAGACCTGCTAATTAGAAAATCTTGCATGAGTTCGTATGGTATTGAATTAAACTGAGGATTATAACACAGTTGGTGTCTGATATTCTTTACAAAACTGAGATGAATATAGCAGTTATTCCATTGTCTAAAAGTTTACTAACACAATCCATTCCAGACTTCAAAGRAAGTAACATTGCTTTCTCACTTAACAGCATATGTTATTTTTTGTCCCATCATTGGTCTTATTTCCTGTTTCAGTCTTGATGTTGCTGAAGGTGTGCTGCTGTTCTGCAGGCCATGTGGGCTACAGGATGCTTGCTTGGTTACAGGCAGCAGGATGACAGACTGCTTTGTGTCTGTGCAATAGCCCAATTCTGTTCTGGGCTGCCTTCCCGTTCCCACAGTGGCTGTAGGGTGGGATGACCCAAGGGAAGATTCTGGTTGCACTGCCACAGGGAAGCCTTGCCACCACTCAGCACTACCTGAGTGATGTGCTCCAGAGAGAGACCAGGAGTGGACCTGCAGCAGGATACCTGGGGGCTGGCAGGCTGCCCAAAGGCAGGCCTGGGCTGTTTGTCGTGTGGCTGTGCTTTAATGCAAGGCAGTAAGCTGGATTTTGGTCAGAATATTTGTTTTCAGGTTCAATGATTACATGCCTGTTAATAATATGCGTGTGCGTATACATATGCTTGAAGAAGAAAATTTGTATAAGCAGCAGGATTTAAAAAAAGGAAATAGTAAATTGGTAGGATTTGAGAGTTTATGCTTTTCTTGTTTGACAGCACCACACTTCTAAGGGGTTAGAGTGACAAAAGTCCAAGATGTCATGGGCTCACCCATTCTGCTGCACCTTGTCTTCCCGTGTTGCCGCTATACACACACACACACTTGCATACTGGGTTAACTGGGTTCAGAGGAAACGAAGCACACAGGCAAACAAGTGTGTTTTCTGACAACTGCATGCAAGTGACAGTGCCATGGCTAGGAGAAAAGATCACTGTCAGTCAGACTCCAGTTGTCATGAGCAGTGCCTGAAATGGCTGCTCATTTTTGTGGGAGGTGCCAGGCACAGGTTAGGTCTTGCAAAAGATTTTATGTCCCAATCCAGAAAAATGCTTAGGGACTGGTTTTGCATTACTGCTATTGATCTCTCTCAAGGTTTCACTAGGATCAAGACATTAATTGGCTCACAGTAATCTAATAGAAAATTAAGGCTTCAGATCTAAATGCTACATTGGAACTACAGCTGTGCAGGGTTTATCAGGATCAAGGCTGGAAAGCAACATTTCTCAACGTGGGAGACTTTGCATGTGCCATATCTAAATAAATCTCTTATCAATTCAGTTCAAAGGAATCTCCCCTGCTTTCAAGAGTTGTGCTGATAACCACAATCAGATCTTCTGTATGTGTCTCCACAGTCATGCCTAAATAACAAACACTAAGATGTATCAAGGATGTTTTTCTCTCTATTTTCTGTATCTGAATCCTGCACGTATCACAGTGCTGACTAAAATGAGCTCAACTATTTCATGGCAGTGTTTGGGAACCAGCCTTGGTCTCGTTGCAGATGATAAGGTAAATTCTGCCACTGAATTCTAAGGGTACATTATCTTATAGTTTACTGCAGTCTAAACCCAGGAGGAATAATTAATGGTCATTTGAGCCCCTGAATGTAATTGACAACCAGGAATTCTTGAGCACATAACCTCCACCTCAGCTGTCAAAACATGCTTTTTTTTATTTAAGGACTTCAGGTGGTAAGGAATCCAGTTCATCTACTGGTAAACTGCTCCAACATCCATTGTCCTTCAGTCTCACCCATTTTTTCCAGCATCCCTCATATTTAAGCACAAATCCAGCCATGAGAGAAAATACACTCATTTAACCTTTTGCTCTGTAGATGTGAGTTTTTGTGTGCACACGAGTGTACATATATATGTGATGCAGAGTAGATATGTTCAGATACCCATCTGCAGCTGAGTGCCCGTTCAGTGGATGTGCTTGCTATGGCTGTTAAATTGGAAATGGAGTGGCCTAGCTGCAACTGGCCGATTGTTCGGTGAGAAACATGCTGCACAGTGTTTTAAGTCAGGGAAGAGAATGCTTTTTAACTGACTTACTGAAAAGTGCCAAAACACACTGAGAAAGCTTACAGAATCCAGCACAGTGTCAGGCAGGGGCTTTAGCCCCCTTTTTTCATTAGTTGTTGGGCAACTTGGTCTGTTTTACACATTGTGGCACCTCCAGTCCTGTGTGTAGGGTCACCTGCACAAAAAAGAAATAAAGTTACATTCAAAACTGGGACATCCTCTGCAAAAAGCATTTGTGATAGTAAAGTGCAGGTAAATGACATATAAAGGGCTTTGGGACTGCAGGTCCCAGTTTAAATCAAGACTATTAATGGAGACGATATCTAGCCCTGAAATGAAAAGTGTCCTCCTGCCTTCCTTCCTAAACACTGGGACCTAGAAGCCAGGTGTCTCTACCTTTTTCCAAATCTAGTTGCACATCTAGAAGTGCAGCTTGCTGGATAAAAGGTGCATGGGGTCTCTGCATGAGGGACCCCGAGTGCTTCGGGACAGAGATCACACAGTGGAGCTCATGTACATGATGAGTGTTCCACCAGGGCTGCCTTGGCCCTGCCTGACCTAAGCTGACCTCCTTCAGTCCTCAGGCTCCTGGATATTTCCACAGGCTCTCCCTTATACCACAACCGGTTTCTATCCATGTGCAGTGGTCTTGAGGTAAAAATGCATTATTTAAAGACAGTTCCTCCAAAAGGAAAACAAGAATGATGTGCTGACTGTTGCACTAATTCTCTGATCTATGTTGCCTTTGCTCTCCTTACCACTGGGCTGCTCATACTTCAGTCATTTGTCAATGTTAAAGAGGAATTAGAATGGCTTTTAGTCATACAGGCAGGGAAAAACCTTAGAGACACTGCTTTCCCAGTGGAGCATCACAGGAAAATCAGAGCAGGTACTTTGACTTGTTGTACAGCATTACTCTTCACATCTATCAGGCAAGGCAGAAGGTCAAACGCAGTCCAAAAAGTGTGAGTAGCCTAGATGTAAGTCTGAGAAGAAAAGAACCCTTATCTGCACTGACTACTTACAGATGACATGATCTCCTTTACATGGAATGGGTATGTGGGGCTGGGCTGCAGGTTTACCTGGACATTTCGATTGAGGCTCAAGGCAGGCATGAAGACGCCCTCGATGTTTTCGAATGCTGGAGGCCCCTGCTGCTGCCCATTTATGTAAAACGTCAGGCTGTGCTTGTTCAGATCCAGGAGAACGCCAATGGTGGCACCTTTAGAAACTCCTCCTTCAGTCCTAAGGGACAAAGGGACATTGTTGGTGAAGGCAGTGCTGCTGTGTCTGTGCTGCTCTCTCTAGGACACGCCAGTCGTACTAAGCAAAGGGAACATGGAGCAGCACCATCACCTGTGGCATTTGGCACTGACTGATCCACACCTCTGTCTGAAGCTTGTGTACCACATCCATGGGAGCTTAATGAATGCTAAAGACAAATTACATCCACATCTCCTGCAACTACATTAAGAGGTGAAAATGGGGTCCAGAACCAACAGGTCCCCTTGGCTAATGACAAACAGGGGAGTGAGCCAGTGGAGTCCTGGAGACACGGCACCTCAGAGTATCCCTGCTATGGTGAAGTGATGCATGGCAGGAAATGAAAAAGCAGGAAATTGTTTTCCTAGGTGTTCATTTCTAACCATTATGCCTGCTAACAGCTCAAGAGAGAGAGACTCCCAGTTCAGCTCCTCACCTTGGCATGCTCCAAGGCCACCCAGATTTCCAGAGCCCAGGGAGCCAGCACAGGTACAAGAGACAGTGGCTTGGGGGAGGAAGTTGGCGCTGGTTAGGCCAGCATTTATCTCCCGACTGACAAGGTGTTCAGCTACAGGACTGGGAGCTATCTAAAGCGTGCAGGCATAGTCATTAATACCAGTGATAATTGGTTGTGGCAGCAGCAGCTGCTGAGAGCTACTGTAGTGTCAGAGCTTGCCAGGACAGACTCAGCCACCCATTACACGCCTGAGTGATTTAACATTAATGCACTTTGACTTGGGGGTTAGTCAAGCTCAGGACTACTTTAAAGAACACTGAGCAAAAATATCCACTAGATATGCAGCCTGGCCACAGGCACTGCTATTCTGCTAATATCATGGGGCTCTGCGATGGATTTACAGCCTGACACAATTTGTTCAGGGTAAATCAGATTTCAAATAATTTGCAGTAGGAAAGGAAGCAGCTGTCTTTTGTTCCATGCACTTGCCTCAGGCACACAACATTCACAAGATTAATGCTTTTTTAACATAAAATATATCACAATAGGTAGGCAAAACATTAAAAAAAATGGGGGCGGTATTGGAATATGATTAGGAAGAATATAGTGCAATATAAAAAATTTTTCTCTTGTCCACTAGGTGTCATAAACTGTTTTCCCTTAGACTAAATGTGGCACGAGGCATTTCATCTGAAGATATATTTTAGAAAAGTGTTCTGACTTCTCCATTTAAAGCTCTTCAAACAATAATAGTATAGCTAAGAATCGTGGATGACTCTGAGACGTGTTAGATATGAAAATTCACTGTTCTCAGGTTCCTTTGATTTGCTTTCTGGTCCTATAAGCATTAATAGGTTTCTCTTTGAGCTCCTCTCCACTGCAAAAACAGCAAAGTAAATTATTTTCCATCAGAATTTAGGATGCTTACCTACCCTCAGTATCTCAGTATATGGACTGTTTTCATTAAAAGCCCTCAATCATAAAACTCATTATGAGGTTGTGGAAAGCAACAGTACTATGATTTGGAGCTATTTACAAATTTATTACCTTTTCTTCCTCTGTTTAGGAACAGCTTTGATTGTAGGACACCAAATTTTAGATCCTGCTTAAAATGGATTTTATTACATCCTTTTAAATAACATTGACTCTCTTTAGGGAAACAGAAACAGCAACTTTGCGTTTTTGAGATTATGAAGTTCCTTCCTATGATAAGCTAATTTGTTTCTTGTGGGCTAATTAGCTGTGTGCTGCACAGTGACATTGAGTGGCTCCTCTGCAGGCCCTTGGGACAGCCCCACTGAAGAGGAGATAGACTCTGCCTGCAGATTCCAGCCCAGGCAAGGGCAGGACCTAGCTGAAGGTCCCACAGGATCTACAGGGGTGTGAGGACACAGCAGAAGGATGGGGACCTTCTCCTTTCCTGCCCTAAGCCCTGCAGGAATTCAGCAGGTAGATTGTCCCATTCCTAAGCTGTCATCTTCCCACAGTGAACAGAGGCTCTGGCAGGACTAAGGAAGGGCAGAAGCAGGCAGGAGCTCTTCTCCACGCTGCTGCCAGGGAGGCTGGACTTCTTCTGAGACTGAACAGCTGCTCTTTACCAAGCATCCCTTGCTTTCCTTGGGAACAGTACTTTGAAGACTCCAGCACTTCTCGGACTCTTTTCCTAGTTGCTTTCTTTAGGAGAAGTGGGACAGTTCACTTTATGAGAAAACTTATCCAAGGCATTTCCCTACTCTTATGTACATCATTTAGACAGCATACAGGATAACTTTCCTAATAAATGCTTTTGTTGCAGTGAAAGAGGCCAGCTAGCTCAAGAGATTCAAACTGATGTTTCTCCCTCCTGGTGCACTTCTGTGGCATCATGTCAAAAACTGTTCCTTTGCTGTAATGCATTTCTAAGCTACTAAACGACATACCACAGAGACCCAGAAACCTTTCATGTAAAAGGAAAATACAACTTTTTTGCTGCACTATTCCCTCAATAAATTCTTAGTATTTATTAACTGACAATCCAATCCTAGAGATAGAAAATACTGTTTCATTTTTTCAGGAAAATCCCATTTGTCCTGCACATTTTGATTCCTTTGTGCAATAAGTCCTGAGTGCAGAAGTCTGTTAAGAGGCCTGGAAGGTCACAATACAGAAAGGGGAATTTGGTTACTATGAAAAATGCCATTGCCTGTGGCAGTAGAGGCTGTTATTCCAAGAGACTTTCAGTAACCAGCTTGGGCAATGTGCAAAATAACATTGCATGAATTGGCTTGAGGAATTAAGAAAAGTAGTTTCACTATATGTGAAAATAAATCTTAACCATTTTTGAAAGCTTTAATAAACTGAATAATTAGTTCAATTCTCCATTAACAATATTTTAAGTGCTAGCTTTACAGCACTTTAACAATTTTATGATATCTATTGTCAATGACAGCATATTTCATTCAATTGTAGTAATTTTGTGTGATAAAAAAACCTGCTCTTGAGATATCTGAAGTCAGCTCTGAAGATCTCTGAAGAGCTTTCCTGATTGCAGGGGCTTTAAGACTAGAATGCATACACTCTAGATTTTGACTTTCCATTGTCTTTCAGTATAAAATATTTCAGTGCGATTTACACTTCTTTCTTTACATAAACACGTAGTGGCTGGAGTACTGCCTGTAGCATCTGGTACCCCTGCTCTTGGGAGCTTTGCCAAGGAAAAGATTTATTGCATTGAATGTCAGTGCCTCTTGTTAGTGGGCATACAGCATCTCTTACAGAACACTTTGAGTTGGAAGGGACCTTTAAAGGTCATCTAGTCCAACCCCCCTGCAAAGAGCAGGGACATCTTCAAGTAGGTCAAGTTGCTCAGAAGCCCATCCAATCTGACCTTGAGTATTTCCAGGGATGGGGGCATCCACCACCTCTCTGGGCAAACCTGTTCCGATGTTTCACCACTGTCATTATAAAGAACATCTTCTTAAAGCTAGACTGAATTTACCCTTTTTAAAAAAAAAACTATTCCCCCTTGTCTTATCACAAGAGGCCCTGCTAAAAAATCTGTCCCCATCTTTCTTATAATCCCTCTCTAAGTACTGACAAACCACAATGAGAGCTCCCTGGAACCTTCTCTTCTCCAGGCTGAACAACCGCATCTCTCTCAGCCTTTCTTCAGAGGAGAGATGTTCCATCCCTCTGATAATTTTTGCCTGGGATATGGTTGTCCTTCTGGACAAGTGCACTCTGGCAGGTAATGACCAGCTTCTCATGCACCAAGAGCCCCAAGTCCTTCTTGGCTGGGCTGCTCTCAATCTCATCCTCCACACTGCCCCGACCCAGATACAGGACTCTGCACTTGGCTTTGTTGAAGCACATGAGGTTCCCATGGCCCCATTTCTCGAATTTGCCCAGGTCTCTCTGGATGGCATCTCATCTCTAAGGTGTGTCAACCACACCACTCAGCTTTGTGTCATCTGCAAACTTGCTGAGGGTACACCCAATGCCACTCTCTGACATTGGTGAAACAGAACTGGCCGTAGTGTGGACCCCTGAGGGACACCACTTGTCACCAGCCTCCATCTGACCATGTAGCTGTTGACCACTATCCTCTGAATGCAACTATCCAACCAATTCCTTATAAACTGCACAGTCTATCAAATCCATATGTCCCAAATTTAGAGAGAAGGATCATGGGGGACCATGAAAGGCCATGAAGATGGATGCTGCCATAGCTCTTCCCTTGTCCACAGCTGTAGTCACTCCATCATAGAAGGCCAGGAGGTTGGTAAGGCAGGACTTGCCTTTGGTAAAGCCGTGCTCACTACTCGAACTACTTCCCTGTCCTCTGTGTGCCTTAGCATGGCTTCTGGAAGGATCTGTTCCATGATTTTCCCAGGCACAGAATTCCAGGAACAAGAAGACTGAAAGGTACCTCCCAAAGCTATACCTCTACCCTATAGTGCTTTCTTAACCAGTTTCATCAACCTATTCTCAAAAGAATCCCTCTGTTTCTGGATGCATTAGAGTCCTCTGTTCATGCCCCTTCCAGCATTACAGAAGTCATTCTAGATCCAATTTTGCATGCTGTGAGTGAAAGAAGCAGAAAAGTCCTCGAAAGGTGACAGGTTGCACAAATTTGTCATTCAAGCTCTACCTCAGGTTATCCTTGAAACTATTAATCTATTAATTACTCTAATTTATTCTCATGAAGATTAGGAAGCATGAAACTATTACTAAGGGGTAACTTTCATCATAGTAACATCCCAGAGGCTAAAAGTTAACAATTAATTTCCTTTGGATTTTGATACTGTGCTGTCAGGCACTCCTGTCCAGTGGGAAAAAACAAATAGGCAGCAATAATTGTTTCCAGAAGATTATTACAACTAATGAGTTTAAAAACTGACCTAGTTGACTGTCACAGTTAAATATATAATGCCTAGACCTAATTTCATTGAAGCACATTTGATTTTGTAAGACTACATGCCCTTTGCGAGTGTATTCCCCTTGAACAGATATTCCACAGGTATATCCATGCCTTGCACATGCCTTTGTGTTTTATCTGGTAAAAACAGAGAAACTATCAACAACATAAAGCACTTTGTTCTCTTGATAAAGCAGGATGATTGGAAATCCTTAGTGTTTCCATTGCTTGTGCTTCCCAGAAAAAAAGCTTCTGCTTAGCTTGCGTATTGCCTGCCAGGAGGAGCATGCAGAGGACCAAATCCATCAAATAGGTTTTTGGGACAGTGGTACACAGAATGGTTGCCAGGTTTTTTCCAGAAAACATAAGCTGTTCCACAGAGCAAAAAATTAATACAGCCTAACATTACTTCCGCTCTGAATTGAACCAAGATGTTAAAGGGACAGAGAACTTTCTGGTATATTTAGTAAACTGTTGTTATTTTACTCTATATTGTCTTAGGATGTGATGTAAGGTCTTTGGAGTCACGGAAAACAATCCAATTGCCTTCAGATAGCTTTTGATCCACCTACAGGGTTCTTCCGCTTGTCTGTAATGAACTGCAAAATTACACCCTGTTTCCAAACAGACATGCCCAGCAATTGCAGCACACTCACATAAAGAGTAAAATATAAATGACTATTTGATGGGAGACATTACAACCAATGGACACAACCTGATCTCTTTAAGGACATACCTGCATTCCAGTGTTTTAAAAATCACAGCAAAACATAGTTTTAATCATTTGGTATGACAAAAACAACACCTGAGACAGTGAGTGTAAAAGGGCTGCTGGGACAGTCAGTAGAAAACTAAACACAATTTGTTTCCAGCTCTGCCACAGACCTGCTTACATACCCTTGGTCAGTCACTTTATTCATACATCAATCTCCTATTGTGATAGAATAGGTATACACAAACACCATTTCCCAAAATAAGCAAGAGATTTGGGATCCTCTCTTCAGCAGAGATCTTCCTCAAGGGTCTCAGTACCCAGCTGACCTTCAACTAAGGCTGACCCCCTGATGGAACACAGAGAGCAGTGCAGTTCTGCTTTGGTGATGCCTCAAGGAACTTCAAACAAAGTTAAGCATGTCTCCCCTGCATAGTCTGGCATCATTTCAGTGAAACAAAAGCCAGCACTAGGCAGAGGTAATTATTCTGAGCCTTGAAAGTCATGCAATCGTGTCAGAACAGCACAGGATCTGTGCTGACAGTTGCTCTCTATGTGTGAACCATCCCTGGAGGTACCTGCAGCTAGAACACGTCTCTCCACTGCTCTGTTGCGTCAAGAACACAGAGCCTCTGAGTGGTGGGAGACAGAGAGGCTTGGGAACAGTGGCTTGGAGGCATTCCGAAATCCTCCTCTGTCTAAGGTGGTCGTATTAGTTGAGGTGCTTTTCAAAGCTCTTCGGTACAATGGCTCAGTTGAACGAAAGCTGTCATTGTGCCCTCGTTGCCAAACAGCCCCTTGTGTCCAGACCGGCCTCAGTGTGACCTACAGCAGTACCTTTAATCAGCATTCAGAACTGGAAAGAAACACCTGTGGCCTAATTATTGCAGATTCTTCCTAAGGAAGAGAATCAAACACCTTTCTCCCTCCAACAACGAAAATCCTGCATCCAGCTGTGCTGTGCTCCTGTCTGCTGATGTGGGTGGGACACACAATAATGGGTTTAAGTCACAGCAGGGGGGATTTATGCAAGCTATCAGGGAAAATAAGATAACAAACACCAACACAGATTGTTAAGGAGCAATTACTGCCACTAGTGATTTTTAAGAAGAAATAAACTAAGTACATTTAGCTGGGAGCCAGACTAGATGGCTTGGTGAGACACCTTCACAGCAGAAAAAATGCTCTCTAAGGAGCAAAGTGCAGAGGCAGCACTCACCGATTGGTGTGGGAGTTGCAGTGCATGAACCAGCTGCGGTTGTTGTCCACGTACATGGCCCACGCCTTGTCGTCCTTGCCCAGCATCATGTCCTTGACCACGTTAATCCTGGCAATGCCGAAGGCTGGATCCGGGTGGTTGTCGTATCGGTCCACGTGCAGTTCCCAGTAATGCACGCCCTTAGAGAAGGCTGCGGTGCCCAGGACCACCCGGTCATCGTAGCTGTTGCACGTGGCAGTCAGGTTGTCATTCGACAACACTATGTCTCTGTGAGCTGAGGAGGGGTCAAAGGTGAACCATGCCACTGTGAGGGACAAGGAAAGGCAGGATTACACCACGAGGGGCTGTGTCCAAGTGTTGTCTGCTTTACTTCAGCAAGAAGGATAAAATTCTGCCTTTGTAAAGACCCCGCTGCACTTTGATAAAGACTTTAATAAAGACAGTATTTCCTTGTTGCTGGAGGCAGCTACACAGGATTACTATGAGCTGGTACCCTGCTGTTCTTCAGAAGTACTTTATATTATTTGTGCTCATTTCCCTGAAGTTAAGCTGCTAAGGACAGCGACTTTGTGTCCACACTCACTAACAATAAAGTCACTGAGGAGACCAAGGCTTCTCCATGGTACAGAAACTGCTCACATATGTCAATTGGTTCAGAATCTCTTTTAATGGAAATGGAGACCAGCTGTGTCCATACTGGTTAGTATTGACTTCACTAATTTATCAAAGTGAACTTTTTTTTTTTTTTTTTTTTGAAAAGGGAAAAAAAAAACCCTAAAGCTCTTAAAGTATAAATATTTTACACTGGCCTATTTTGGCAACACAGCATAAAAATGGAAGGGATAATAGCAGGCACTTCTTGATTCATTACAGTATCATTAATGAAGATGAACTTCCTGAAATGTCTGTATGGATGTCAAGTATAATTACAGAGGAACAAGCATGAATTCCCATCTCTGTATTATAAAACCTTGCTGGGAAATTGAAGCAGTAGTGGGGAAAAAGGCAAATCCCAAAGATATATGGAGAAAGGGAGACAGAGTGGAACATAAAATATCGCATGAGTTGCGTAACTGCTTCTGTATGCTAAAGTAAGTGTCTTAGTTAGATCCTAGATTTTACAGAAAACTAAAACCACATAACTTGAAGCCTGAAGTGTTAGTGATAATGGAAAGTGCCAGTAAGTGTCAAATGCATTAATGGGGGTAAACGGATGAAAGTGTCCTGCTGCTGAGACCTGCTGCTTTTCATTTAGAAACTGCCCCAGCTCACCATCCGATGTCTGTAAAATGACAGTCTTGCTGTAAGGACCAATGCCCGAGGAGTTGAAAGCTTTGACTCTGGCATTGTAAGTGCTGTTGAAATGAAGGCCGTCAATGGTGCAGAGTGTCTCCTTGCCAACATATACTTCCTAAACATTCCAAACGAAAAAGGAGAGAGAGGGGGAATCAGGGACATTGTTCAACACAGTTAAGACTTCTAAAAAAAAAGCCAGAAGTGAACAGCTTGTCTTTGCTTCCCGGTATGGATGAGTTATGCTGTTACAACACAGACAGCCACAGCAGGGGAGGCATCAAGGATGGTTTGTACTGGAGAAACTAAGGTGAAGATGAAGATGGAAAGACAAAGCCATAAAGGGCAACACAGACAGATCTTCATGCTCCTCTTTTCCTAAATATCTACTCCAAAGAACTACTTTGGAGAGTAGTCCTAGTGTCTGACACACTGTGACCATTATATTTATGTAATACAAAAAAAAAGGGGGACATATAAGAATAAAGGACCCAAGTGCAGTTCTAATCTGTTGGAAAGGTTGTCCAAAGCCTGTGTTAAAATGTAATTTTGAAACCTGAAAACACAGATCCAGAAGAAAATTATGTCCTAACTATTAGGATTACATGCACCACATGACAAAATGGTAACTAGGCCACAGAGACATCAGAAAAGTCTTCAAAGATCCATGAAACAGCAAATACTTGTGCAATGTGAAATACTTCAGGAGGGGGAACACCTAGACAGACTAGTGAAGAGGATCAGATTATAAAGGCTATGATGAACTGAAAGAAGCCTAGAAAATCCTATCTTGGTAGCAGGTTAAAAGACAAATCCTTTCCACCTCTGATTCCTCTGGTTTTGTGAAATCTGTAGGTTTATGGTAGCAAAGGCACCAAAGTGCTTAAAGCTGTCACTAAGCAGACCACTCCAGCCCCAGTTTAGTTAAGACCTTCTAGTAATTCCCAGAAGTACCTCTGATGATTAAGGCTCTTTCATATGAACCCAAAGTGAATTAAATATGTGGTAAATAAGAAAGGAATTGTTTAAGTTTACAGCAGAACATGTTTGTCCAGTTTTCTACCACTGTGGCAGTTACCAACGACAAAATCTCTTGGGTCCTGAGTTAGCTGGTGATGGTTCATGGAGACAAAGAAGAGTTTTAACAGAATAACTTAGTTTATCTCTATGTCATAAGATATGTTGACTGTGAAAAAGTGGTATTTCTAGAACAATGTTCACTTTTTCTAATCCACTTTATTTTTACCACTATTCATTGCTTCTGTTTATTCAGATTTATGCTCTCTGCTACAATGGGAAACCAAAAACATTCTTTAAATCCACCCATCAAATATTGAGGAAATGTACTCAGTCACTGATTTCAGATATTCTCCATTAAAAAGGTCAGCAAACCCTTATTGAAATAGCATTGCTATGGCTGCCTTCTATCTTTTAATGGGTTAAATTGAGGATGTTCCTACTACAGCAAGAAGAGCATTTCCCTAAAAAATTATCATATTATATTTTTAGGGATTGAGATGGTTTTGTATTTTTTTCAATCCAAAATCTTAACGTGGCACTGCTAACAGTCCTAAAATGTTGGGCAGCAGCAAAAACTCACCCAGACAAATGAGCTTGGATATGCACCAGCCTGAAATCTTGTTATTCACAAGTATTTATTTAGACGTGAATACTACTTTAAAAGGTTTATCCTGGATAAACTGGATAAAAGATGCTGGGATTCTAACACCCTATCTTAACTCTTCATTCATCATGCACTGACAACCCTCTTACCTGCTAATATTAACTATGGGGCAGGTCTTAGCAGCCATTCACAAAAGTACCTCTTCACATTTTCAGTAGTGGAGCCCAGGCTCTTCAAATCCCTGCGAAAGGTTACTTGGACCAAGGAGCTGAAGAGACCTTCCAAAACCACAACAATCTCTTCAAAATGCCATGCCAATACTGCTGGCTCTTCTAAGGAGAGGTCTCCAAATCAGGTACTTTGCTGGCTATTGGTGTAACAGTTTGGCAGTTCCTCTAGGGGATCCATGCCAGGTCATTTTCAGCTTGAGAAATCTTTCGGTTTCCAGTGAGGAGCCAGTTTGCAGCTCCCAAAGAAATGCCATCACAAGGTTTTGGCAAAATTCCCCGTTTGCAAAGAGAGCACTGTACTTCACAACGATCTTCAAATGCTTTTGAGGCACTGGCCCTAGGGAAAGCACTGGGCCAGCCTGGTCCTGAGCAACAGAAGCATGAAACCTGCATGAGGAGGAAGGGCCACAGCTTCTAGCAGGACATGGCTGGAAGAAAGCTGACTGAATTGCTTCTCTAGCTTGTTTACCAGGATGTGTTGAAAAAGTATGGGAGGGACCCTAAAAGCACCCTGCACCTGCAACCAGGAGCATCATGTTGTGGCATCACCCTGAGGGTCTGGAAGGACAGCACTTGGGAAGCCTTTCCATATTTATCAATTCCATCACAGCATGACTGTAGAAAAAGCTTCCACCAGCCAGGTCTTGTCAACACCCAGGGGAAAGATTTAGAAATCCTGTATTTTGATGAAGGATAATATTTTTACTCAGAAAATCAGGAAAAACTGAGTTGCATTTCTGGACCAAGAATGTCAGCTGTTGAAACATGGTGCTATGGACAGATGAGAGTAGGGATTTCAAAGAAATTGTTTTGTGCAATGAACCCCTTCCAGCTCCTGCAGGCTTGTTTAGGAATTTCTTCTACTCTGGTACACACTGGGGATTCCTCAAGACCATCTTTGCAAGAGAACTGACAATGACCTCAAATAACCTTCCTACCCAAGCCAGCAGTCCTTCTGTTAAGCAGCATCTGCACTGATTTCTCCATCAACACAATGGAATTAGGGAAGTTTTGACAAGCCACATCTTCTCTACCTCTCTCTCCACCCTTGGACAGAAAACAAATCTGTATCTGAAGGAAATTCACATACAAAGAAACACAAATAAATGCTAAATGAAATTCTCACTCGGAATTGGCCACCATCTCCATCATCAAGTTCCAAGATATAACCCTCCACCAGGTTGTGGCTCAAGGGTGGCATCCTCCAGGCCAATGTCACACTGTTGTTCCTGGTGCAACACTTCTCGAGCTGCAGTAATGGGACGGGTGGCACTGAAACAGGAACTGGATACAGGTTAGTGTAACTCTGCCCTGCCCCATTAGTCTGTGCCATGAGCAGTATGGCAGCCTCTCACCTCCTTCCTCTCACAGGGGAGCCAGTGTTTGTTAGGAAGAGTGTCCATTCTCTTCCTTGAAGCAAATGGCAACAAAGATTATACAACAAAATGTTGTTACCCAGTTAAGACAAATCATTCAGCTGAAATACATGAACAGAAACACATCTAGACTTGATTCTTTTGTCGCATAAGAATTAGAATCTGAGGAACTCATGTGCAGTTTCCTTCCCAGGAGTCAGTGTCCGGAAGAATTCTTTTTCACAGCAGAGCACCCATTGTTCCCAGGAGGAGGGGCCGGGGGTGTCTCAGGCCATAGGGCAGCATAGTGCTGCCCGTTAGCCCAGTGCATCAATGAAGAATTAACAAGCTGAGCAGCCACTCCTCCTTCCACAGCTGAGAGACAGAGCCTGCACTCCACCAACAGCTGGAAAACAATTCTCCACTATAGCTGTGGAGCATTTTAAAAATCTAATTTCCCACCCCTCCTTCTCCCCCTAGTTTGTCATCAAAACCACCTTGGACATGTTATCTTTATGGCAACCATACTTAAAATAAACTGTTGATGAAAATTGTTCCATTTGCAAACTTTATCTAAATCCCATTGTTCAGGTAGCAAAAGGAGCTATTGCATCACAGGAGACGCCTCATGGAAATTACAAGTGCAAAGTTTTCTACCACCATTCCTTTTCAGTGACTTGCTCAGAAGAAACACCAAGAGACTGTTTACCAGACCAGCATTTTAAAAATAAAAAGAAATAGAGTAAAATATTCAGCGGTGTGAAAGAGGTGACTAACCCACCTCTCCTAAACACAACTAAACTCTCACTGTTCACTCTTTGCTGGCAATTATGAAGTGAAAATTTAGTCTTCTGGATAGACCTGGTATGTTATCTTATGCACTGCTGAAACAATTCAGGTTAAGTAGGATGCAAGAGATTCACAGACCTTGCCTAGTCTTCTGCCCAAGGCTAAATTTCACCATTCAACACCTCAATATCATTTCTGCAGAGCTCAATCATGTCTGACAAAAATCTCAGTGCTCTGCAAATTCATTGCCTTGACAATATCAGTTTGCTCTTCTTTTATCTACTCCACTTTGACCCTCTAGTTTATTTTCCTCCTTCTGTCTTGCATGAGAGCTGAGCTCTTGAGCTGTTCCTTTCGTCCTATTTTAAGTCTCTGGATTAGAGAGGACTGCTCATGCTCTGTGTACCAAGCAGGCTGTGGGAAAATGGATGCTACTGTGTGACAGGGCTGAGGCTACACCCCCACTTTGGAAGTGACATGAAAGTCAACATCACACTTGTGATTAACAGTGCAGAAACTACCACGGCTTTCCACTGGCATTTTCTATCACCACAGTGAACGCAGATGGTGGGTAGCCCAGAAGAATGAAACAAAAGAGCTTTATAAATTAGCTCTTGGAGGTTTTTCTGTGAAAAGGAAGCCTTGTTCCTATTCTTTGATATTTAAGGATGATTCAGAGGGTGTAATAAATAAAAAACTGCTTTCTCACATGGAAAGTTCAGACTTTTCTCTAGGAGATACTGTGTCTGGAGAAGTCACACACATGTGACAAGAGTAAAAAACCTGAAAATTAGGAATTCAGAGGTAATGGAATTTTTTAAGTGAACCATTTTAAGTTTAGATTTTTGTCTGAGTTTGTTAGCCTATGTATTCCTAGTGACCAATGAGTGTGGGAGAAGATACGGCTGCATCAGCCATCCCCACTCTTGCGACTTTTGCTAGCTGGATAACCCTCAGGAGGCATTTGCCTGCTCCTCCCCATTGCTGAGACTCCTCCAGGGAAGACTGGATGAACACCTAATTCCAGAAGTTTATAAGATGCAAAATAGACTATGCCCTTTCACCTCTGAATAAACCACTAACATTTCCAAACATTCAAGAAAGCTCCTAACTCCTAGGAACACTGATGGGAGGCTTTCAGGAACCATTCATGTAAGGCACAATGCTGAAAAAAAAAAGAGCAGAATTTTGGGGGGAGGACATATGTTTTACAATTCCTTTTCAATTATATAAACAGAAATGCTGTCTAGGAATAAAATACATTTTCACCCAGTAGAGTGTGTTGTTCCCACCTCCCAGTGGAAGTGTGACTTTTCGCCCTATGTGTGAGAGTCACATATGCTATAGGGAAGTGCCTTGGCTCCTTTAATGTGTTGCTGGATATTCAAGGCTCTGTGAGCAATCCATATCAGCCTCCTGCTCTCTCTGTGCAGCCTGTGGCCTCCACTGCACAGCTCTCCTGAAAGGAGACAAGAAGCTGCCATCAAGCAGCTGTGCAGCTTTGCTGGATGATGCTCTCTCTGCCTGCCCTCCTGCTTCCTCCACTGGATGTGCAGAGATTTGCCTTGAGCTCAGATTCCCTTTGGGAGGAGAAAAGATGAACACTTGTAAAAGTCCTAGGAAAATGAGTTAAAGAATCGTGACACTGGTACATACTTCACAGTGATAAGCAATGGAATAGGACTAAGAAGAGGAAAATACAGGCTAAGTGTCAGGGAAAAAAAAGAGTCAGATATTAAATTACAGTGCTGTCCCATTTCTTGACCAACTTAAATTTCTTGAGAGACTTTTTGAAGGAAAATATTTAAAATATAAAGGGAGAAAAGATACTGCATTGGCACAGTGAGCCCTATTAATGAGAGTGAATGATGTCCTGCTATTTTAGAAGTGTTTCATGCAGGTCACTCTTCCGTAAGAATTGTGAAATGACTGGTGTCTTGTCAACTCAGCAGYTCCCAAAACACATTGCTCAATGTGTCTCACAGCTGATCAGGGTAGTCCCTCACAGGGTACAGTAGGGCTGCTCTCAGATGTTGTCTGCTGTCCTCTTGACAAGCAAGTGATGCCATGATGCCATCCACCTTCCCAGACTAGTTTTTGAAGGCCTAAATGCACAGAAAGAATGGGACCCCCAGATATATGAAAACTTTGACTTCCTCCAAACTGCTGTAAAGCTCTGGAACAGCCTGAACCATTGCAGCATCTGAAGAAGGGTGAATCATGCCTGGCAAATTTGGTGGCCTTCTATGACAGAGTAACAGCAGTGGTGGATGACGAAAAAGGATCTGGTGTCACCTACCTGGAGTTGTGCAAAGCATTTGACTCTGTTCCATTTGACATCCTTGTCACCAAAATGGAGAGACAAGGATTTTAATGGATGGACCTTTCAGCAGATAAGGAATTTATGGCTGATGGCTTGATGTGCAAGAGGAGACCAGTGACAAGTGCTGTCCTCAGGGGTCAGTACTTGGACCAGAACTGTTTAGCATCTTCAATAGCTCGCTGGCAGTGGGATTGAGTGCTCCCTTGGCAAGTTTGCTGGTGACACCAGGCTATGAGGGACCATCAACATGCAGGAGGGAAGGGATCCATCCAGAGCAATCTGGACAGGTTTGAGAGGTGGTTTGTGCAATTCTCATCAATTTTAACAGGGCCAAGTACAAGATCCTGCACTTGGGTTGGGGCAATCCCAAGCACAAGTACAGGCTGGGTGGAGAATGAAGCAAGAGCAGCCCTGAAGAGAAGAACTTGAGGCTGCTGGACTTGATACATCCATGTGCACTTGTAGCACAGAAGGCCAAACACATCCTGGATTGCAGCCCAAAAGATGTGTGACCAGCAGGATGAGGGAGGTGATGCTCCCCTTCTACTCTGCTCCTGGGGGACCTCACATGGAACACTGTGTCCAGCTCCAGGGCCCCTAGCACAGAAGGGCATGGAACTGTTGGAATGGGTCCAGAAGAGGGCCACAAAGTTTATCAGAGGGCTGGATCACTTCTCTTATGAAGACAGGCTGAGACAGCTGGGGCTGCTCAGCATGGACAACAGACGGCTCCAGGGAGACCATATTGTAGCCTTCCAGTACAAAGGAGGACTATTAGAGAGCTGGAGTGGGAGTTTTTACAAGAGCATGTAGTGATACGACAGGAGAGAATTGCTTCAAACTGAAAGAGAATAGGTTTAGATCAGATATTAGAGGTGAAGTCTTTACTGCGAGGGTGGTGTGGCACTGGCATGGGTTGCCCAGAGAAGTTTTGGATCCCCATCCCTGGCAGTGTTCAAAGCCATGTTGGATGGGGCTCTGAGCAACCTGGTCTAGTGACAGGTGACCCTGTTTGTGACAGAGGCTTGGGATTAGATGATGCTGAAGGTCCCCTTCCAACCCAGACCATTCTATGATTCTAAGATAACACAGATCTGGTTGAGGTCATAGAAATAAAATTTCAGGAAAAAAATGGCCCAAGTGTCAGATTGAGCAGTTCAAATGGAAATAGTCTTGCTGTCATAAATGGAGAGAGATAAATACACATCTATATATGAAACAATCCTCAATATTTGTGAATGCTAGCTTGGAACTGGCCAGTGGCTTACTCTGCTTGGGCACACACAGAGGTGTGAAGGGAAATAATGTCATCCCTGATGCACCTTCAGAAATGTTGCCAGGTTAACACCCTTTCCACTATTCTGTGTGTGGTCTGTGCATGGTCACACCAGTTGTGCTGACCAGCATGATGGGACATGCAACAGATAATCCTTGTCAAGGCCAGGAAGCTCAAGCAAAAGCCCCTCCTGAGGGATAACCTTGCCTCTGGGCAGCAAAGCCCAAGGGTGTTTGGAAGCTCTACACAGGTTTGGGCAGAAAAAGTTCTGTCCTCTTCTCTGCTCCTCAGACTGTGTCCAGCTCAGCACCAGAGCTTCCCTGCCACCGCATGACAAATGAGTGTGGCAGACAACTCTGTCTTTCATAAAGCACCAGTGAATCTGGCTCAAAGTCTTGAGAGTCTCCAAGCTTAAGGCCAGGTGAATGTCCATAAGCAGACACGTAAGTTGCTCTCACCTCAGGTAACCTGTGGTTAATTAGCAATCCGTGTGACTAGTTTAACTAAATTTTTCATGTGTTTTTAAAGGAGAGTGGTGGAAGATTAGTTACATATATTTCATAATGGGTATAGCTAGCATTAAATATAGACTGATAATAAAAGGCAAGTGCAGACAGAATTCAGAGGAGTTTTATCAGTGATATTCCTTCTCTATTGACTCCACTTGCCTGTCTGACAACATTTCAAAGGAGCAGTTCACAGATGTTTACTGAGTAACTTTAACACAGCTGCTTATGCCAAGATACAAACCATTCTTGGTGAGCAGACTCTGGTCTTTAACTGTTTGTTCATTATTTCTCCACGTATCTGCCGAATTATCCACCCTAATTACTTCATCTTGGGTCTCTTAGATACGGAATTAGGCCAAGAGAGAACACGTAAGCTGAACAGAAATCTTTATGGCTGCTCAGAGCAGAAAAAAACCCACATATGACATCACTACACAAATATCCTTAACTCATTTACTGACTTCTGGCAGCCTCCATCCTGTCACCCACATGTTTAATTAAGGCTTGAATCACCATTGGGGGAAGCTAATGGCATCAGTCCCAGGGACCACAATGCCTTTCAAATCCAATCATTCTATGGATCTATCTAATTCTGATGCAATGCTCATCCTGCTCCATATAAACTAACCTCATTACAAGCTCATGATGTTAATTTTCTTTTTCTTTATTTTTTTTAATATCAATTGCATCTCCTGTTCATCAGACTCAGCTTTTAAATACATTTTTAACCTCATTTCTGTTTCACTTGTCCTCAGAATTATCCAGATACCTGGAACCATGGCATGGTACAACCACAGAGTACTTTCCCTTTCTGAATTTCTTCCTTGAGAATTTTTTTTAAGATGGGCACTGTTTGCAACGCAGTCCAGATTTAAGTCAAAAGGCTGGGGTTTTTTCTTCCCTATTCAAGCATGTGTGTGGGTGTGTGTGTGTGTATGTATGAGTAATATTTATTTTCTATTTCATCTATTCCCGACAAGATAGGAGTAGTTGTTATCTTGAATTAACTATGTCAAATCCAGGAATGCTACAAAATGACATGGAATTTCATGCAGCTCATGTCTTATTAATCTTCAAAGCTCTACTCTGAAGAATTTATCTTTTCAATATTTAAGGGCACCTGGTATGTCTATCTGAGCTTGTTCAGCTCACTGCATGTGAGGGGAGCACACCTTTCCAGGAAACACCCAGTAATCTGAATTTGCCTGGAAAAAAAACCTTTTAAAACTATCCAGCAAATTCAAGTAGTTCTTCTTTCCTCCTTTGGTGTCCTTACCCCTCCCAGAACTGTTTCAACACATGCACGAGAAACAAAAAAAGGAAAATCATAAAAGCTCACCCCTACATTTCATCTGAATAAAATCCAGCTGGTGAATTGACTGCAGTAAAGGTTCACTATCCAGAGTCAAGTCAAACTCAGCAGACACTTTTGGCTCCAAGGCTCCCTTGACCCACTGTTCCTGAGATACCTGAACACGCTTGATTAAAGCATCTGAAATCTGAAAGAAAGTATCAAGTTTATAATGAAATGACAGACGCACATATTAAAAGTGACAGAATGCCTGTGAGATACAGCACGAAGGAAACAGGATTAAGATAACAAAACAGACGAGATGAGATCTGGTTGTTTTGGGATGAAGTCCATTTATGTTGCATCCTTTCATCTAGTCTTTTCAAAATAAATCTTATCTTAGGCTAGGAAAGTAAAACAACATTTGTAAAGCCTGTTAAGATTATGTTGTGTGTCATGCCTTTGAATGCCACATATAATTCTGTACTCTGTTCTCTGATCTTCAGAGTCTACTTTTAGTCTCCTATTTAAAAAGAAGCTGCACAATGACAGGCTTAAATGTTAGAGTTTCTCCATACAGAAGAGATGATTCAGTGGATGAAAGCTAAAGGATTAAAAAAATCAAATAGTAAGGGAGGTGTATATTACTCACAGTGAGGGTGATAAATTGCCAGCTGGATTTTCAAAGTATATGATGGATTTTCTACCATTACATCAAAACTGAATTTAATTTTTAAAGCTTTGCTCTAGCTCATCCCACAGACAATCAGGCCAAAAGTCAAACTAAAATTATCACAACAGACTCTTCTGGAAGTGAAATCATGGCTTTGTGGAAATCAGTAAACTCAATTGTCCTTGAGTTCAGTGAATCTGTCATTTAAGGATCTGGAGTCCCTGACAGTGAACTTCCTGTAAGTCACAGGAAGCAGAATTTTTTTGTGGGTATGTCAGAGAGAGCTTTCTTTGTTGCAGGAATTCTGATGCTTTTTCTCATTACTTTTACTGGGGGCCATGCCTGTCTGAGCCCCTGCACCAACATCTCCTAATTAGTCTGTGCAACAAGTGAAGGAGCATCCCACAGCGTCCTACAACCTTGGAGTTACTTACTGGGATGCTGGATCCCTTGGCCATGTTTCAATATCCTGGCTGCAGCAGTAGTTGCTCAAAGTAATGCAGTTCCTGAGTGTCTACTGGCTGTCTTGAAAGCATCAGTAGACAAACCAGGAAAAGGTAAAAACAAAAGTGGCCTTTTTTTTTTAATAAAGGGGGGCTGAAAAGAATGAAGACACAAAAGATACAGGGAAGCAAGCGGAAATGAAAATAAAGCATATATCTAGCTAGCATGTAGGTAAGACCTAAAGGTTTCATTTGTCCTGTAGAGTCCAACCAAAAGCCTGTTAAAATCTGTTTAATCTTGAGATTAATCTACACCACACATTCCCCTCTCTTACTTGAGACCAGTCATGACAGTAACAATCAGTCTGGAGTGCTGATAGGTTTAAGTTGGCTAATTCTCATCCTGTTTTTTAGGGATGCTCTGACAGCCCAACACTCATGCATTCATGAGTACAGGTCATTTTGTTTGATGTGTCTTTCTTCTTAGGAAATTAATAAGGCAACCAAACTAAAAGGGCAAAATAAAATAATAAATAAACATTAGAATAAATTAGGCAAAATAATTTATGGAAAAATAACAGTTATGTTTTGTCTCATCAATAGATGCTTTCACTGTTTACACCGAATAAAAAACATCCTGGAAATTAAGGCAATCATTAGCCAGGTCATGTTTTGCAAAGAAAGGGTACCTGGAGATATAATAGGTCTTGAAGCCACTTCAGATGCAGCAATCTCAGTGAAGCAAAGCTACATGCAAGCCCCTTCAGACTAGATTTCCTTACAAGGAAGATGTTGAAAGGACTTTTTCACATGGGAAAGCAAAGGGGAGAAGCACAAGGGGGAGAAGTACTACTCTACTTGGTCACTGACCTCTCCAAATGGATCAGAGAGCGCTCTGGGGCTTTGTTTTGTGTTTCCTAGATAAGAATAAAACACTATTCTGCAAAAAGCTATCATTAACTGCATAGCATCCTTCATTCAGCCCAGAAGAGGAAAGGCATCAGCTAGGTCAGAGTGCAGCTGTTAAAGCCCTCTCTTTGCTGGGGTCTCTGAACTTTTCAACAGTATTAACAGGAATTAAGGTGAACCTGCCTTGGAGGTGGAAGAGAATAATTAACAAAACCACTCATTTTTAGACTTAGCTTTAACATATTTTCCTTTTTTCCCCCAGAATACTAGGAAGAAAAATACCTGTAAAAACCCAGAGGGATCATTTTCTTTGATAACCTCTAGGCAGTACTCCATAAGCCCTGTTGACTGGCGCAGCTTCAGTGTACAGTGATTTATCTGGTCCCAAACAACCTGGAAAACAAGCATCACTACAGTTCTGTGACTGTCTCAGCTCGCAGTAAATTGTATAAAATTGTTTCAGAATAGACAAGGAATGGAAGAGTTCGTTAAATCTATGCTTAATTTAGCTGCCATATGGCCATTGCCATATCTCCATCAGCTTCACTCACTTGCTCTGTATCGTAAATAGCGATAATTAGCTTGGCAAAATGCTGTGCACGGGGAATCTCAATTTTTAGAGCACATTAATTGCTCAAAGACTAGGCTTGCTTGGGGCAGAAAGAGCACAGACATGTTCCTGTATTTGCAGTGTTCACATTTCCAATCACACTTTCACTAACATCTGAGCTTTTTAAAAGTCCTTCACGTTAGAGGCAAACTGTTGGAGTGGTTTCTTGCAGATTCTACTCTAACATTCTCTTTACAATTTATCATTGAACTTGCTCTAGTTAAGAACACATTGCTGGAATTAAGAAATAAAAGAGCTGCATCTCATTTTTCCAGATTTTAGCCTTGATTCTGATGCCACATGGCTGTAGACTGGTTCAGATAGCACTGTGTTCTGTAGGACAACTTGGGAAAACAACGAACTGTAGGGTTTACTGCAGGGTTTATTGCAGGGTTTGCTGTGCTGTCAGCAGTATGTCCTAAGTGTTGTTCAGCAAGGTAAACGCTGATCTCAGGTAAATTTTATTAACTGATATGTTAGAAAATTCAGTTCAATTTTACCTTCTGTCTTAAGATACTTTTAATGTGAGTGGCACTGTAGTACCTCAAAATCACGTAAAGTTCAGCATTTTAAGAAACATGTCTGTTTCTGTTTAAATATTTTTGACTGCCACTTGGTACAACTATTTTAGATTTCTTCTCACCACCTCCTTATACTGCATTTATTTAATATATTGTGAGTAGCCTATGCATTCCTGGAGGTGGCTGGCCTGAATTTCAAGATGTGAAGAGATATCAAAATCACAAGAGTTTACTCGGGCAGAAGGTCCCAAAATCCAAACCACACGTAGGTTTCACTGATAAGCTCCTCTCAAAAGATAGCCCCAAATATCAGATAAAGAAAGATTGATGGCCTGATTCAAGAAACTGCTGAAGTCTATCCTTCATTTAAAGTGTGTAAGCACACTCCCACAACACTGCTGAACTGGAACATAGTAAAGGACTTTAGGATTTGTCACTAGGAAATTTCATGCTGTAAGGGGCTGGGGAACTTGACAAACCACACCAGCCTTCAGCAGCTGTGCCGAGCTGATGAGAAGAGTGCTCACCTTCAGCTTGTGCTCCCGTTCTTTGGTGACCTTTGTGAGCAGTTTTGCCTTTTGCCGTGTTAATGCATCAACCAGAGCATCGCACTGAGCGACAAGACAGGCTTCGTAATCCAACCCATTCTCCTAGAAGAAGGTGAGAGTCATACTCATCAAAGAAAGCACAGTTTGCAGCTTATGCTATTGCTCATACCTGTTTTTCTATGCAGAAAAGATTTCCTTTCAAGACCATCAGCATTTTTGTTGCCTGTCTGATTTCATTACAGCTGTACCAGTAATAGCTGCACACTATAAAACAGTAAGATGCCGGCCACAAATGGGCTTATTCAAAACCTTGATTTACTGGCGTTTTCCGGACAACAGATGTAGTACAACATACTGAAAATGCTAAATGTAACACACACAGTGCATATGTACATAAGAGGATTCTGTTCCAATCTGTTTTAATTATCCCACTGTAGCAACTTTGAAATCACTGGCTCTATACCACACCAATTAGAACAGAATTATGGACCAGAATCTGATCTACTGGCTTATTACAAGGAAATTAATGAGCTACAAAGCCCTAAAAAAATTTTTAAAAATTGCTAGCAATTGGCAGTTCAGCTATGTACTTGATTAGCTTATCAAAAGAAAAAAAAAGGCAAGTTTTTATTCACATTATGGTAAAACTCTTTGCTAGGCAGAAATCAGCATGAGGTAGGCAACACAAGCCTTTAGTAGGATCTGGGTATAATTTAGCATGACATAAATGCTCTGAACAGCTGCTGTAGTACCCATTCAAAAGTAGGTCTCCCTCACCTCCTCTGCTCATGAGACCAAAAGGAGAAAGCTTTCAAACTCTGCTTCCAAGGAGATGTTTAGATATACTATCAGCTTTCCTCCCAAATACCCAAATTAAAAAAAAAAAACAAAAAAAAAAAAAACATTAGATGTGAGAAGATTTTAAACATGTGCTGAAGGAGAAGGACCTCTTTGCTAAACCATCCTGCTCCCCTAAATTATTATCTCCTAGCTCTTTTGTTTTTCTCTTCTTTTTTAGTCATTTGTCTGTCTTCATTATCTAGAGTTCAAAATTTTCGGCACTGTGCTCCCTCCCCTCACTGTGCATCCCATTCTCCCGGTGATGGATGCAGGGTCAGTGCTCCGGGGAGGCGTCCACTGCAGCCCTAGACCTGCCAACGAGATGTGGGCGGGGGCTTTATCTGGCGGTAAGGAGACACCAGACGGCTCAGTTCCTGCTCACAGGTTTGTCTCAGCCTCTTCCTTTTTGCATCTCTCCCTCCTCGGCTTATATGACACCCAGCTCCCCCTTGAGCCTATTTCCATCCCGTTACTCTGGAAGTACTGCTTTGTGCACAGAACCCAAATCAGTCGATGGCTATAGTGCATTATTTCTCTCCTCATTCTCTGTTCACACATCAAACGGGATGTTTGGTGACATGCCTCCTTCAAGTGAGAAAGCTTGAAATTGGTACAGCAGATGGGAAAATGTGAAAATCAGATCACGACAGCAACAAGGAGAAGCAAGGAAGCAACAGGAACAATGAGGAACAAACAGGCAGTATCTGAAAAGAAAAGACCAAGAAATATAAAAGTGACCTCAGACAAGAAAAGGGAAGGAAAAAAGTGGGGGAAACAACAGATCTGCAAAGAAAGGGAAAAGGAAAGTAGATTATGAATTTGCAAAATGCCCCATGTAAGATAAAAGCATGGTTCCTGGTAGCTCTGGCAAACTCAGAGAGGAGATAAAGAGTGTGGATGGCTGTCTGGTCTGCTGTGCTTTGAGACAGGATAATGAAATGTACATATTGCTCGCTCCTTTGTGTAAACATATYATTAAAAACATTTTTGCGGAGGGGTAAATGTCCATATGCAAGTGTGACAGCTGTCATACAATTTCTCCTAGAAATAACCTGGTCTGAGATTTGTGAGTCTGATTATAAACTTACGCACAAAGGCTACATCTGTTCCCCCCAAAAATAACAGTACAAGAACTGTTCATCGGGCCAAATGTCAAAAGGCACAGACTGGCTCATGACACAGCTAAACCCTTTCCCCTCAAAGAGTATGGCTGTACCAAACCTGACAACCAGGAGCACGTACCTGGTACATGCTATCATCAAAGGCTGTTTGAACGTCACACGAGAGGAGTGAGATTTGTCACAGGAGAAAACCATTCCAGGGAACTCCTTAAGGGCTAAAGTGTGTGGGTGATCATCTTGGAATGCCCCAACCTTTGTTTTATTTAGGAATACACATGCAGCTGATTAATCCTACTGTTTTGGTTTACTGAAATTTGATATTTTGCTCAGACTCACAGTGGAGACTGGCTCAACATGTGAGGGTCAGATTCAGCTTTGTGCCCAGACTCAGCAAAATGTTAGAGTGTAATGCTGGGTACAATTTCCTCTTCTGAGCTCTCCTCCAGCATTTTAAGCAATAAGCAGCATCAGATAAATGGCTTGGGTTTTGATGCAACTGTAGCAACTCCCTTATGCAGAGCAATTTGGCAGTGATTGTACTGAAACACATTTAAAGATTTTTCAGCATAAATAGTCATAACAGACCACTTCTGGGTTTCAGGAGGGAAAAATACATTTTTAATACAGTTAGATGACTGAAGAAAGATTGGTGATAGATCACTGTTTTGGATGGGTTATTCCATCCTAAAGTAGCTGTTCATACCTATAGGAAGAAGTGCTCTCTAGAGGTGCCTACATTTTCTTCTCGGGCAGTGAAAGAAGTCTAAAGGAGTAGACTAGCTGAGCTACAAAACTTTCCAATGGGCAAGTCAGCTGAGAGAAACCTCACACTATAGGCAAAATATGGCACATTACAGGTGCCAGTCAGTAGATTTGACCTGGTTTCTTTCAGTTTAATGTCCTTTAATTTTACCAGTTTCTCAGTTTTGATTTGTTGCCTTCTCCACGTGGTCATGGAAGACTGTGAGGGTGGGTAATTATGCTGCCCTGAGCCAACCCTGAGAGCTTGAGCAGCTCCTCTAGTAGGAATTCATCATCTAGGGCTTGAAGTGGAATATTTTAATGATTAAATTATAAACTGAATACAGATTTTTGAACTTCTGTTTTGGTTTTCTGTTACTAACAAGCATGGGACTTGCTGATGAAAGACAAGCAAGCAGCAGAGAGGCCTGCAGAAGAGCAGACGATGTGTATCTCATCGCTGCAGAGCACTGCTGCTGCAGAAAACAAGTGACCCCTCCTGGACACTGTGCTGCCCAAACTACAGTGGTACATTTCCAGGTATACTCTGCAGGGTGAGAAGGACATTGAGGATCATCTGACCTTCAGCACTGATGAGTCTAAATTTGATTGAAAATTGGACTTGTTTCATTTTGGGTTTGTGCCCTCAATTAACTGCACTCACTATGAGCCCTTTTCCTGACTATTAAATCTGGACAATTACATACATGAAAATAACTTATGCTCCAATAAACGACATATTGATTTAGCAGCAGTTTTTTGGTTTTTTTTTAAATTAGAATATTCCAGTATTTTTGAGTATGAGTAGGACATTCCTACAAGTACTGTACTAGGCAGGTTGACTGGATTTTGTGAAGAAATTTGTGCATTTTTAGGAAATGTAAGACAGATTTACTACCTTACACTAAGATAACTATTTAGAAGACTAGTAGTAAATTTTGAATGTGTTAAAATGAGAACTTATCCCAAATGCTGATTTCAGGCAATTGCAGTCAAGGAGGAGCCCAGAAGCTTGACTAATGGATTCAATCAAACACTAATCAACACAGCTCAGATGTCCAGTATTGAGTATCAGCTTCTTGCAATAAACAGCAAACAATTTGAAGCTAAGAGGGGCTTGCAGGCATTATTTGATGAATAATTTTACCTAGCAAATCCATTCAAGAAAGGTCAGATGATTCCAGGAAAGATGAGAATAGCGCAGGAGACAAAGTCATCAAATAAATTATTCACTCAGTTCTATTGATTACTGTATTATCAAAACAGATAATGTTCTACAGTTACCTGAATCTGCTGCAATAAATTTTTCAGCTGAACCAAAAATTCTTTAGCTTCCTTTGCTTTATCTGAAACACCATTTAAAGCCTGAGAGAGCTGTGCCTGCAAGGGAGAAAAAGGAAGAGGGAAAAGAAAAGGTTAGTGATAAAATGCAAATGTGTTTCTTACTAATCCTTGGATGTGCTAAAAGGCTTACTTGTTGTTGCATGTATTCTTAATTCCACGAAGTGTTTGTACTAGAAAAGAATAGTTAAGATTTTTGCTGTAATAAGGTTTAATTAGGGTGAAATATGCATGTGGAGGCAGTCAAGTATTGTGTCTGCACATTCCACTTTGTTGCAGTAACTTGGTAAGTCAAAATACCTTTCTAAATGACAGCAACCCACATGTATAAGGAGGTAATAGTCTTACACTTACACAATRGCATCTGTCATACTGAAAAATCCCCAAATGCTTTCCAAAATGACACTTCTTATTCATCCAAGTCTGAAATCTTTAAAATGTGGTAGATCTTACCAAACCTGAGATACAGTAGCATTTTAAAAACAAATCTTCTTTCTCAGACTTCATAGTAATGTCCCTTCAGGGCTCCAGTTTCCCATGCTCCAACTCAACAAATGGGTGAATGTTTCTGGAAAAGCTGGAAAAAAACCTGTCCTCTAACTTTTGACTGAAAAGGCATATGGAAAATGTCTTTTTTAAGTCCACACTGAAGGCCTAACCTTCCCTATCTTCAGCTGACACCTGAGATCACTAAGCTGAACCAGAGGCTTGTCGATGAACTTCAAGGATGGGAAAGAAACAGCATTTTTGCCCTCAGCAGACACAGAATCACCAAGGTCTGATTGGACACAGGTGCTGCTTCTCTGGAAACCTGCATGGCATTACAGAAATCATACTGTCCTGCTTGTGCTCCAACATTACTTCTCCATGCAGACAGGCCTGTTACTTGATCAGGATGGTCACCTCACAAACAGGGACACAGACAAGGCACAGGTGCTTAACGCTTTCTTTGCTTCTGTCTTCAACACCAGTAAGAGGTTCTGGGGGTCCCAGTGCCTTGAGCTGGAGGATCATGACTATGAGAATGATCAACTCCCAGTCAAATCCAAATCTGTGTACAAGATTTGATGCCCCAGCTGGATCCGTGTAAGTCTATGAGGTGCAATAGGATTCACCAAGTGTACTCAAAGAGCTGGCTGACGTCACTGCAAGACCTCTCTCAATTATTTTTAAATGGTCTTGGGAATCAGTAGATGTCAACTGGAAACTGGCAAACATTGTCTGAGTTTTTGAGAAGGGGAAGAAGGAGGACCCTGGAAAACTACAGGCTTGTCAGTCTTACTTCAGTGCCTGGTAAAATTACGGAGATTATTCTGGGAATTACTGAGAAACACCTGAAAGACAAGGCAGTCATCAGTCAAAGTCAGCATGGCTTCACAAGGGGAAACTTCTCCTTGTCAAACCTGATTTCCTTTTATGACAAGGTAACCCACCTAGCTGATCAAGGGATGTCATCTCTTTTGATTTCAGTAACGCTTCCACAACAAACTCTCACAGGATCCTTCTGGACTAAATGTCCAGCACAGCTGGACAAACATGTAATGAGATGGGGGGGCAACTGGCTCATGAGTTGGGTACTAAGGGCACATGGGGTGATATCAGACTGGTGACCTCTCCCTAATGGGGTTCTTCAGGGCTCCATTCTCGGGCCAGTGCTCTTTAACTTCTTCAAAAATGACTTGGATGCAGGACTCAAAAGTTATGCTGATTAAGCCAACAACACTAAACTGGGAGAAGCTGTTGACTTTCTCAAAGGCAGAGAGTCCTTGATTAATTAAAGGCTGGACAATCACCAAGCACATTTAGTTTAACATTGGCCCATGCTGGGTTCTGCACCTGGGATGGAGCAACTGTGGATGTATAGACAGACTGGGGAACAAGAGGCTGGAAAGCAGCCTGCTGGAAAGCACATAAGTGCTAAATTCTAAATGAAAATATGCTTTACAAAATTCATTTGTAACAAATGTAAAGGGAAGACACATTACTGTGCATGTTCTCAATATTTGAGTATTTACTACTTTCCCACACAAACTCTTGTAAATGCACAAAAACCTGAAACGATGATGTTTGATATTAACAACTACTTGAGGTCACAGAAGCAAACTCCAGGTAAATGAGAGTCCCTGTTTTCTGCCAGATCAGATGATCAGAACTTCAGGTTAGCGCTGCATGGGCTGATTACGTTTGCCAAAGTTTGAAGCGCACCTTTTTTGATCACATTTCTGCTCCACTCACAAAGCACATCTGAACCTTTGGTTTGTCAAGCTGACACCAAACAAGGTGAAAGCAGCTTATGACCAAGTAGCTGGGGTGCAAACAAGAAAGAAATAGGTGGCAAAAGCATTATATCCTCTGTCACTGACGATCCTGACCAAATTGTCCCAGGGAGACAAGGGCTCCTTTTTCAAACCAAAACCAATGGGTGGTCCTGACAAAAGTAAAACTTCCACTTTTCCAACATCTGCCCTAGCTCTCAGATCGTCTCAAAGTGCATTTTACCAGATCAGAGGAGACAAAAACTGTATGTGGGCATCACAGCAGCTGTAGAAAATCACCACAGATTAATTGTAACCAACATATGAACCAATGGCAATTGCACAGCCCCTCCCGGCTCCTGGCACACTCCCAACTGCAAAGAGCTCCAACAGAAAGTCAGCCATGTCACTGTGTAAAGGGCTCATGAGCAAACTGATCTGTTCATTAAAACCTGTGGTTGCACTGACTCAACTGAAGCYGAGTAGAAGGCCAGATTTCCATTTGTGAAACCCACTTAGAGATAATAGCCTTCTTTTTCCAAGCATCTGTAAAAGATACCTTGCAAAGCAGTGGAATTTAGTCATGCACTTCTCATTAAAATCAAGTGGAGCTACATGACTAAGCCCTCAATAAACCAACCAAGTCATAAAAAATGCCCTGTACACCCAGAGCAATCTCTCATACTGCAGAAATATTTATGGCAAGCTGAACTGAGATGCAGCAAGCTCTATTGATTGGGACAATTAATAACTCCTGACCAGTGATACTCTAACTGGCATTATCTTTACTTTATACCTGGTCTTGCAACCAGTAATGTTGGGGCTGAAAAAGGATATCAAGTTTCTATTTCCATCAATTATAGGAACACAGAGATCACAAGGGCAAGTGATTAAACCCAAATGGGCAGGGAAGACCGATGCTTCCTTTGATTTCAGAAAACGAACCAGATAATGCCATGTCCTTTTTCAACCAAATAGTTCATGCTTATTTAATTTGCCTTACCTCCATCTTCCTTTAGCAGCAGATTAACTATTGATTAGTAAGTTTGTCCTGGTGTTGAATTCTCATAAAACCCATATGGTTTTGGGAACACAAGGCTTTAGGCCAGGAAATAAAATCAGGCAGGTGGACTCCTACTCTTTCTTGTAACTCCCTGCCTGCCTGCCCTTCACAGACCTATCCAGCTGTGGGTGTTTTCAGCATTTCGGTACATACATATATTTAACCATTTAGAATGGCCAAACCTGAAACGTGTCCCCCATCATTCCTCATATTTCTAGGTCTGAAGTCCTACCTACAAGTGATAACAGTGTCACTGTTTGTGCTAAGACATGAAAGGACAAACTTCAACAGAAGACTAAGTGTTTTATTTAATCACCTTGACCTGCTGGTCCAGATGCACTTTTTGGGCAAGTGAATATAACAAAGTCCTGCTAAATCAGGGGATTTTCACAGATCTATGCCACTGGGGCCTTTTTGTTATTTTGTTATTTTACACCAATTTTACTTTCTCTGTAGAAGTTACATTCAGCAGTGTAATGGGGAATCTGCACCACTAACAGGGGCCAACCAGTATAGTACAGCTTTGGTGTCAGCTGTACAGATGAAGGTAAGTGCACATTTTTTGCATGGTCTGCAGCACTCTCTGGACAAGGTTACACACTCTGTAATTTGCTACTAGATCACTATGTAAGGCCCAGACAAAGGAGAAGTCAAACAAAGGGCCAATACCAGGAAGGCTCCTTGGTCTGAGAACAAACCTTTCAGCTGCCTCTACCAGTTATACCTGGAGCATCTAGAGAGAATACATAAACCTTAAATTAAATCTAGCATACCAGTCGATGTAAGTAATTTATGGTTTGGCCAAAGTAACTGCAGGTAATAAACTTGTAGAAATTGCTGTATCAGAGAACTATTCCTAAATAGAAGTATCTAATTCCAAAACAATTTATCTGAATGTATGTAAGCTGATGATTTAGGCTGCCTGGCTATACAGTTCCACTATATTTATTTTCTGCCAAGCACATTATTATGGAAAATGTAATATTCAAAAGAGCACAATTTTAGAGTCCTCAAATTACTTAATTTTGAGCGTTTCTTTCTTCTAGAATTTTGACATTGATTGAATATGCAAATCAAGAGAAAAATCATGTTCTGCAATACCTCAATCACAGACAAAAATATAGTAAAAATACAAACCAAAAGGGTTTTTTTCCCAATATTTTACAGTAGGAAAGAGAGGAAATGAAAAAGAAAATCTGAACTTGATTACACTGGAGTCTAAAGTTCCAAAAGGCATCAAACAGTTTTAACTCAAGGCAGACCATAATACATCACAACCTGGTCTCCCACACTCTCCAAAATATCAGCCACGGTTGAACTGTGAACTCAGACCCTGCTCATCAAAACAATTCTGCTCATTTGTGGATTCCACCACTGGAATGTGAAAAGCAGGTGCAATTTTTTTTATTTGCTGCTTCTGGGCCAGGAGAAAAAATTTTCATCATGTCAGGGAGGTGGTAGCTGAGATGTTGGCAGAGCATTCAAACTGAAACACCTACAGAAGAAGTTTGTCTTTCTTCTTGGATGGACAACAATGCAGACCACCCCAAGGGACATCTTTTTTGGATCTTAAAATAGAAAGTCCATTATTTGCCTTGCCAAATACCTTAGCCTAGCTTGTGCTCAACAACTCCTCAACAATGCCTGAGGGATGATGAGACTGGTTTTTGACCTTCTCTGCAGTGCCTGAAAAGATCTCTCTGTGCTTTCTTTACTGCTAACTGCAATCAGAGAGCAAAAAGAAGTGCTCTTTGCACAGATGTGGAAGAAGTCCTTTATGCCCAGCACGGCAGGAAGCTCCAAAGGACTGCTCCCAGCTCTCAGGTATTGAAGTTCCCTCTGTATGGTCACATGAATTAAATAATAATTTTTCCAGAGTCCACCATTCTCAGCAAGAAAAAAACTAACTTCACACATTTTCAACTTCTAAGGCCATGTCTTGCTCTTTATTCACATGGTTGCAAAGCCTTATTTTTAGCAAGGAAACCATGACCAAGTGACCCACTAGCTCTACCAGACCTCAGCAAACACCCTGTGTGACAAACCGGATGGCCCTGACCTCTCCACAGAGGGATCCAGGGAGAGGTAGGGAGCATCCCTTGCAGGAAGCATGAATCAGACAGTGACAATATGTGAATCAGAAAAGCTCTACTTGTCCCTAGTCCCCATCTACAATTCCTTATTTATCTTTGTGTCATCAAAGTCCCTCCAGCCATTACTCCTGGCTTCTTTGGGAACGGAGTGGGAGGAGACCTCTTAAGGCCCAGAAGACAACCCAATGTCCAAAAGCACCTATACCAGGCTTTCTTGTCTAAAACATTTGGATGACTTAGGGCCGTTCTCCCTCATTAACATATGGTTGTGGCAGCTTGCACTGGATCCTGGATGAAAGGGAGGTGGTGAATGGAAGGAACAAACATCTTGTCTCCTCACACGTAGGTGCTGCCACCGCAAGAGGATGGGATGGCCAAGGGCCCTGTGGAAGGCAAACAAGTTAGTGAGATGGACTCGACAATCCCACGTATCTGTCTGAGACCTGGTTGAGCCTCATATTTTCTGGTCAAGGTGAGGCCAACATGGGAGGGCATCTGTGGGTTTTCTAACCGCGAGCAGAGGCTGAGGAGTCAGTGGGAAGTCAGGAGGGGCCAAAGACCTAAGAGCACCATTCCAAAGGGAGAAAAGTCTGAGAGGATGACGGACATGAAGAACCTCATGTGCCACAAAAAGCAACCCGCTGTTGGGGCATTGGGATGAACAAAGTGCTAGACATCACGCCAGCTATTCCCAGCCGGCTGGCGGGACTCACCTTGTGCTGCTTCCACATAGCTCCCAGGGCCTTCACGTCATGCTTGCTGTGCTTGCCCTCTTCCAAGCACCGGTAGCAGACGGGGCTGCGGCAGCTCACGCAATACATGCTGTAGTTCTCCAGGTCGTGCTCGGCGCACGTCGGCAGCTTGCGAGCGCCGCCCGCCCCCTTCCCGCCGCCGCCGTCCCCGCCGCCGCCGGGGGCGCCCGGGTGTGCGGGCGGCGGGGCCAGGCGGTGCTTGGCGAAGGGCCCGCGGGCCGGATGGCAGCGGAGCTGGCATGCGGCGCAGTACAGCACCTCGCACTGCTCGCACTGCACGGCGGCCGGCTCGGGCGGGCTGCGGTCGCACAGCTGGCACTTGGCGGCGGCGGCGGCGCGTCCCTGCTGGTAGCGCTGCACAATGGCCTCCAGCAGCCGGTTGCGCTGGAAGCCGCGGAGCCCGCGCTGGTCCAGGGACGCGCTCCGGTGGCACTGCGGGCAGGTGAGGGAGGAGCTGGCGGGGCCGGCGCCCCGCGGAGCCGCCGCCGCCCCCGGAGGCGCGGGCACCAGCGGCAGCACCCGCACGCCGTTGGGAGACTTCAGACTGGGGGTGTAGGAGCCGTAGCCGCTGTCGGTCTCGCTGTGCAGGCTCAGCTTGTCCGCGTGGTCCCCACCGCTGCCGCCGCCGCCCGCCGCGCACTCCGAGTCCAGGCAGGCGGCGGAGCCCGCGGCCGCTCCCGGCCCCGCTCCGGGTGCCGCTCCCGGCGCGGCGGCGAGCGGCGCGGGGCCCCGCGAGTGGAGCAGGGGCGGGAGGTGCTGCTCGCTCTCCGGGGTCTGCACGGCGATGGTGCGGGCGCAGGGCAGGCAGACGTTGTGCGAGCAGGGCAGGATGATGGGCTCCCGGAACAGTGAGCCGCACACCGGGCACTTCAGCTCCTCTTCCATGGCCGCGGCGCCGCTTTGTGCGCGGGCTCCTCAGGCGGGCGGCGCGGAGTCGCCGCCGACTCCCCCCATTCCCCGCGGAGCCCCCTTCGCTGCCTCCCTCCGCTCCGGGCTCCGGGGCGAGGCCGGCAGGGCTCCGGCCGCAGCTCCCGCGCCGCGCGGTTCAGCACCCGCCGCGCAGAGACAGCTCCGCACGGCCCGGCCGAGCCGGGGCCAGGCTGGGGTAGCCGCCCGGCGGCCGCAGCCGGTTCGGGGCCGGGGAAAGGCTGCCCGCCGGCCGCGGCTCGGGCAGGGAGCGCGGTGGGACTGTTTTAACGTTGGTGGCATAGAGTAATAATATATAGGAAAGGGAAGCGGGGGGCGGAGGAAGGGCAGGAGTAGGAAGGGGCGGGAAGAGCCCTTTCCAGCAAATAAAATGGTCGCTCTTTCAACGGCTGGCAATGGCGAAAACATTTTTTAAAGGATCTCCACACAGTGATGTCTTCATATCTTTAAATAAAGCCATTGTTTGGGTAGCGGACTGAACGCAGGCGGGGTTTCGTTATCTCTAGTAGCCGTCTCTCCCCTCCCCGAATTAAAGGAGGATGCTCACCAACAAACTAAGCTCGTACCTTTCCCTCACACGGCTCTCACCGTGCTGGAGCACAACCGAGATGCACAAAATGACGGAGGGGGGGATGAGAAAGGGGTTAAAAGGGAAGCACGAACCCCGGCAGGGGCGGAAGAGCACAGCGAGCAGGGGACGTGCCGCATCGCCTCAGCTCCCAGCCCTGTGACCCCAACAGGAATCTATTGCGAAGATAAATCAGGGATGACAGGTGAGAGTTTATGAACTAAAAAACCATCCTTAGAAGAAAGAAACCAGCAGTGGGAAATCCCCCATCTGTTTTGTTTACATACGCTTAGCGTGGATGTAACAGTGTTTTATTTTCATGGTGAAGGGATTATATGTAAGAATGATGTCACTGATTTTTATTCCTGTTATTTGTCTATCTTTAAAAGCCACTACTGTATTGACTTCAATTCCAGAAGCAGATCCTAATTTTTTGTTTCTTTGAAAATGCAAACTGGTCATTTCAGAGCAGCTATTTTTAAAATTAAGAACTAAGTGGTATCAAATGAAAAGAAATAGAAGAAAGAAAGAAGAGATAACGTCTTAAATCTATTGAGTCTCATCATAACATTTCTTGGTAAATTATAAGATTTTTTGTGACACTGGTTAGGAGAGGGTTTTCTAGTTTCAGATTTTGCTTTTGCTAGATTATTAAAACTGTTGATGCACAGAAAAGGAGGAATGGTGTCAGAGAGTAGGAATATATTCAAGCTTCAATTTTTTTCAGTCTGTCCTCTCTGCAGTTCCTTTTTGTATCTTTCCCAGCCACTCTCATGACAAGCTGAGGGGCAAAAAGCCTCGAGGGGTTTTAAGCTTTGTAGTACCCCATTTTAGGATGAAAAGCAGCTGGTTTGGCCTCTGGCACATAGTAGAAACAGTCGTGACCCACATAAACCTGCCTGTCAGCTGGCTAGGTATCTTTTCCCTTTATGTGACCTCTGTGCTGAGATTGAGAGTTTATAGACTGATTGTACGTTTGGGCTACCTCCATCCAGAAACCTCAGTAGTGCAAGAAATGTTCTGAAACACCAGTGATTTCACAGCTACCTTATGCTACTACATAGTAAGAAGTGGGTGAAATACTGCTATCTTCATAGTTGCTGTTCTCTGCTCCACCATCTGTCAGCAGTGGGAGTGGATGTACTCTAAAGATTTCTTGCAGACATATAGGGGAATCCAAGTCACAAATTTCAAGTCTATGTTGGAAGCCATAAACCTAATGGTAATTTGGAAGGCATCGGTAGCTTTTTCTTGGACTTTTACCTTCTTTCTTTACCTATCCTGTGTGTGAGATGACAGTGATCATAACATGAATAATGGTAGCATCAGGTCTGAGACATCTGAGAAAAAATGAATAGAGAGGTAAATAGTGGAAATGTAAAGGTATGAACACCAAACTTGACCAACTGCCTTTTATAGCTGCATTTTAACCACAGCTTGCAGCTTCCTGAGTTCTAATACACTGAATTTTACCTTTTCCATTTCCAATCCTACTCTAGAGTTTATGTAAAATCCTAGAATTGTTGGTGCTTGACATGCAAAAGGGCAAGAAAGAAACCGTCCCAGACATACAACCGCTGTCTTTCAAACAACTTCTCTTCTCTCCATAAGTCTGACTTGGCCTGAGAGCATACCACTATAGTAGGTGACATTTGAAATGGAGATCTAAAAGGTGATTTGGTCTTCTCTGTTCTGTAGTGTGACTTTGACTTCTTTCAGAGTCTTTTTTAACCTACTGTGAGAATGAAATGTTAATGCCCAGGAGACCTATGGCTTTGAGAGCAGGGAGAGCTGTGATACACTTGTTTACCTGTCCTACTGGTCCCAGAACAGCTGTTGTTGCCAAGGTGTTGCAGAGTTTCAATGCAGAAACCTTTATCCCCATGGCACCAGAGACTGCCGCTCGAACCAGCACCTACTTTGACAGTATTCAATTTTCTATTTAGTTTAGGTTACAGAGCACAGATTCTTCTCCCTGTGTAAGTGCACTGCTCTGATGCAAGTGAACAGTCAAAGCATCAGTGTCATCCTTTCTATCCCAGAGGTCAGGCTGGGAACTGGTCTAAGAGTTGAAAAATGTCATTGAGCTTTAGCAGACTGACCTTTGACACCCTTACTCTTGACAAGAAACAGATCTCACCAAGTTGATTCCACTAATTTTAATGGAACTATTCATAAAAATGTATTTGGTCTGAGCCTGAAAGAATTGGACCTTTACTGTGTTTTGTAATCAAGGCATTATTATTATAATGATTTTTCATCTTTTTATGTTCAAAAGAGTCTTTATCTGTAAGAGCTGTAGCAGTGTATGGATAACCTAGAAACCCTATACTGGCAGTCTTAGCTTTGATCTTAATTTGATTGCTTCAGTATCACTAGTATCATCCCCTTAAACTATTTACCCTTTGTAAGAACTTATTAGCATCTTTTATATCCTCCCATTGGAAAAAAAAGTTAATGAGATTTATTTACAGATTTACATTAAAAAAAACATAAGATAGGTTGTGGTACAACCCTGCAGTATGGAGAGATTTGATTAATCTTTTTGATTCTCTTGCTTTATTGCTTATGCCTTCTCATTCTGTTTGTTGTGACTTTTTTGTTGGCTTCCCATTCCTTTTCTTGTGCTTTTTTGTAGTTTTTCCTCCTTCTTTTCCCATTTTTTCCCTTAAATAGCTGTATACCAAGGTTACTTCACTTTGTTCAGTTTTCTTCTTTTACCACTGCTGTTTCTCCATGGGGATTTTTTTTTTATTTCAGTATTCCAACATCTCTTCCTCTAATGGGCATTGCTCCAAGCACACATCCTCTCATTTGAAGGGCAAGAGGGAAGAAAAAGGTTCTTATTTCCACAGGTTCTTATTTCATTGCAAGAAGGAGAACAGAGAAATGGATCATGTCACCGCTGTAGAGGAAGGTTCTTTGACACCACCCCCAGATGCCCATTTTCATCACCTCCCCTGCAATTACAGCAGCTTTCAGACAGCCACAGGCATTAATCCAGCCCAGGACAATTAGCTTTCAGCATCTTGATTCAGAGGTGCTGTCCTGGTTTTACTCGGTYCAATTTTTGGTGCTGGGGGGATGGGACCAAGAAACCACAAAGATGGCTCCGTTGACAAAGTTCTAGAGGCTTTCTCCTTCTTCTCCAGCAAAAGGATCCCTACGCCCTATGTTTTAGAATCAATCCATCATGGCTCCGAGGTTGATGGACAGGCTGCTGGTCAGGCCTGGGCCAATTGCTAAAGCTAGTTACACCTATGTGATGACATATGGTCTTGTACATAAAAAGTATTCAAAACAAGATCATTTGCAGCCGCCATTTTTTTTTTAGGTTGTTAGTATCATGCACTGGGGGAAGACAGAGGAGGAGGGTGAGGAGATGTAAGGAAAAAAAATGGAGACCCAAGATCACAGTAAGGAGAAGATAGGTACTGTTGCTGTGGTGCTTGAACACGGAGAGCCTTCCCCCCGCCCCCCCCCCATCTGATGAGAGTTGATGCTTAGAAGAAATTGTGTTCTGGGGCGTGAAGAAGATGTATTCTGCCAGGAGATTTGTTATAGTGGCCTTGGAGGACAGTTTCCCTTTCTCCCACGAGGTAAAGAAAAAGAATCCAGTCAGTTATACACTGACTGTTTCTTGGGAAAAGACCTTCCACAGCTTGGAGCTGTAACTCTTCTCCTATGATGCTGGACGATAACTGTAATGTGTAGTTTGATCTATGTTAAACTTTCATCCCCTACCTCTCTTGCGCCAGGAAAGCATGGAGGGGTGGGGAGGGACGACCTGGAAGAGAGACAGGTTCCAGGAAAGAATAACAGGTGTCTTAAAATGTCTGTTTTTATTTTCTTCTCCTTGTAAATTTTTCCCTATCTTTGTTCCCCTCCCCAGAGCAGTAGTATTTGTAGTAGTTTTTAGTAATAAATCTATTTTGCAACTTAAGTTATTCAGCCTGTCCGACCATTCCCTGGAGCATATATTTATCTTTCTCTCAATTATGTTATGTTATCTGAAAGCCATGAATTTTAGTAATAATTGGGCTTTTGCTCTCCCTTCTGTCTCTCCAGTGGGGGGAGGAGGGGAGGAGGTGGGTGTTTTGGCTTTCGGTCAAGTTCAAACCACAACAGGTGCCCATGACTACACAAGGACAGGAGTGGGGAGGAATGGCCCCTTGCAGCACCACTGAGAATTTGTACAAGATCCAAAAATCAATGTCTGGCCTGAGACATCAGCATCAGTCAAGTGAGGAGGCAAGTCCACAAGATGCCAAGCTTTTTTCATCAACACACCTCACCCTACAGGAGATTTATGCGTCCTTCCCTTCAGCAGCCCATTCAGCTGCCCAATAGGAGAGACAAAACAGACATCAGCTAAATCAATTGCACTTGCACCAGCAATGTATTCCTTTGCTTCATTTAGCATTATATTTTCTGATTTGAAAAGCACCTTCATTCAGCTTTTCTCCTCTCTTTCCCTTTGCTACATTTTCCTTTCACCTAAGGCAGCATCTTTTGACCTTCTTACATAAGCACAGAGATTCTGCTTCCCTCTTCCTTATGTTGCTTCCATCACTACTCTTCATTCTCTCCTTGATGCAGAGAAACTCC